AGAAATTCTTTCGGAGTTATAAAGTGTTTTTTGTAACTGTGGTTTTTCTTTCCTTCACCACATGAACCTAGTTGGGAAGGTTGAATTTGGAACAGCTGATTATCAGAAGAGAAAGTATGTGATAAGAGAATCTTGACTCCCTAAAAATAAAAAGCTTGGACATTTTTTGTTTTGTAGTATTTCTGGTTCATACATTTTTACAGAAGTAGGTTCGTAACATTTGGTCCTAAAACTTGCTAGGTACTTCCCAAGTAATGCAGTCGGTTTATAGATAAGGAATCTGAAATTAATCTTTTTCTCACAGTTGTGATTCATTTTCTTTTTAACTTGTTTCTTTGTGGTAGCTCTCTAGAGCTAGTATTTTCATACAGTATAAATGACAGTTTCTTTTTTTTCTTCCTAGCATCCAAAAGGAAAACCATCAGAATGACACCTTCTCAGGTTACCTTTGAAATAAGAGGAACTCTTTTACCAGGTATTGTAAAGTTTTACATTTTAAAAAATCAGCATTTTTCTCTTCTTTAGATTATCTTAACTATGGCATTATTAGAGTGGGCCTAAATTTTACAGGACAGTATTTTTAGGCCTTACCTAAATGTCAGAATGCCTCAGTGTCAGAAATGTGCCCAGAGCGTAGTCAACTCAAGGAGAATTCCTCTCCAAATAGTGTCTTATTCTCATATATTTTCCAAGAGAGCTGTGAGTTTATTTAAATTTGGACAGGACAAAGATGGTTGGGCCGTGATTTTTAAGTACACGAAAATGAGGGAATTTTTGCTAGTGCAAGAAGCTAGTGAGCTTTTTGGCTAATATGACTTGGTTTCTTGTATTTTTTGCTATCTATTAAAACAGCGGAGCCTTGGTAGCGCAGTCGTTAAGAGCTACAGCTGCTAACCAGAAGGTCCGCAGTTTGAATCTACCAGCCACTCCTTGGGAACCCTGTGGGGCAGTTCTACTCTGTCCTATGGGACTGCTATGAGTTGAAATCGACTTGGCAGTAACGGGTTTGGTCTTTTGGTTTTTTTATTAAAACAGTGTGAAACAATTTTAGTATAAGATAGCTCATCAAAATAGTATAATTATTTTTCCCCTTTAGTAGTACTTACTGGGAATTTAAAAATTCATTTTCACAATCTCATAATTAAGTTAAGGAAATTTGCTATGAAAAGGTGTGTACCTGGGTTGTATACCTCCTTGTTCAATATACTCTGGCTACAAACAACCCGTTGCTGTGAAGTCAGTTCCAACTCTTGGATTCTGACTTATGGTGACCTCTTGTACCTCAGGGTAGATCGACACTACACAGAGTCATGGTCATCTTGGCTGTAATCACCAGGCCTATCTTCTGCATTGACCCTGGATGAATTCAAACCACCAGCCTTTCAGTTAGTAGCCAAGAGCAAACCATTTGTACCACCCACTCTGGCTATACTGTTCTTTTTCCTTGTTTCTCATATCTGCTGTGTTCCTTCCCCCCTTTCTTCCTCTTTTGGGCCCTTCTCAAATTCTGTTTCCTCTGCCTCAATCTGTGGACCCCACCTTAACTCTTCCCTGCCTGAGCCTCTCACTTTCCACTAGATTAGGGTCCTGGTGAAATTCTCTCAGAATCCCAGCACTACTTCGTGGCACCTCTCACAGTTTTTATAGAACTATTTGGATAATTTTGTTTGTGAACAGATTGTAAGGCCTATGAGAACAGGACGTTGTCTTGTTATGTTGAATTCCCACACCTACCATAGTACCTGGCTCAGAGCAGGGACTTAGTAAATATGTATTCAAAGAATGAAGGAGTAGCTCATCTATATCCAGTGTTTTTGTTCTAGCAACCAACACAATTGTCTGTGTATGTGTCTCCAAATGTCCAAATTCAAATTCTTAGCCGGGCAGGATTCTGCAAGCTGAAGATTGGTAGTCACTCAGTGGATTGGCTTCCTTGGGTTGAATGCCTGCCTCTGTCCAGTGGGTGGCCTCCTCTGTGGTGAAAAGACTGCAGAATTCTATTGTAGCTTTTAGGGAGTTATAGGCAGGCAGTTTAAGCTAGAAGGAGCTGGCTGTGTCAGGTGAACGCCACGGAAGGGTCAGCTTGAGGGAGGACCCTCCTTTTCAGAGACTAAAGGGAAGGAGATAATGGTGGGTGTGAATGTACATGAATCTGTAGGTGGGAGAGAAGAAGTAGAAGGACTGGGAGGGGATGTTAGAGAGACTCCTCTTCATCCCCCATTACCTTGGTTTCCTTACAGTGGCAAGAGGAGTTGCTCTCTGCTGAATATGGGGAGAGGGGAACACAGAGACGGGTGGAGTGGGAGCCATTGAGGTGAGTGGAGGAAACAAGTAAAAAGCATATGTGCCACACTAATGCAGGGTGTTAATGATAGAAGAAAGGAGCGTGTCTTAGTTTGCTAGTGCTGCTGTAACAGAAACACAAGTGGGTGGTTTTAAAGAACAGAAATTTATTTTCTCACAGTCTAGAAGGCTAGAAGTCTGAAATCAGGGCACTGGTTCTAGGGGAAGGCTCTCGCTGTTGTCTCTGGGAGAAGATCTTTTTCATTTTCTGTAAACCTGGCATTTCTTGATTCCTTGGTGATCTCCATGTGGCATGAATCTTTCCCTCCTTTTGTGCTTGCTTCTGTGTGCCTAATCTCTTCATATCTAAAAAGTGAATAGGTTTAAGACTGAAATGGTCTTATTAACATAACAAGGAAAATACCATTCCCAAATGGGATTACATCCACAGGTACAGGGGTCAGGATTCGAACTTATATTTTGGGTGGGGGGATACAGTTCAATCCACAACAGGGTATATATATGAGGGAGAGAGGGGTATATGAGTTCTTCACTTTCTGTGCAGTTTTTCTGTAAACCTAAAACTGTTATAAAAAAAGTGTATTTTTTTTTTTTTTGAAAAGGGTGTGTGAGGGTACTGTTTGCAAATTTTATAGTTAGTACTGTGGTCTTTATAATTTCTTATAAATGAAGGCTGATTAAAAAAGATCTGTTCTAGTAAACAAAATCAGTATTTTCTTTTTTCCTCAAAGAAATCATATTTTAAGGAAATCAGCAAAAGAAAGTAACATTGCAGGAGGGAATTGGTGAAATACAGGAATACCTGTAGTATTGACCACTGACCCTCCAAGTTTTACTTTTTCCATTTAGAATGTACGTTCTTTTCGGAGCAAAAAGTAGCCTGCTCGTTGTATGGGGACAACTAATAACTGACTCCATGAAGACATTTTTGTGGGACTTTACTTTTGAGGAAGAAGTGTAATGGGCCCAAATAAGTGATTTTATGATGATCTGTACTTCGAGAAGGGAACCCTCGTGGCACAGTGGTTAAGCACTCGGCTGCTAACCGAAAGGTCAGCGGTTCGAACCCACCAGCCGGTCTAAGGGAGAAAGAAGTGGCAGTCTGCTTCTGTAAAGATTATAGCCTTGGAAGCCCTATGGGGCAGTTCTCACCTGTCCTATAGTGTCGCTGTGAGTCAGAATTGACTCGTTGGCGACGGGTGTGGATACTTTGGGAGCTAGGAGCCTAAGACTATTAAATAGCAACATATACAGTCTTGGAAATGAATATTTGTGCTTTGTACTTAGTAGTGGTTAAGCGCTCAGCTACTAACAAAGGTTGGCGGTTCATCCACCAGCCTCTCCGTGGGAGAAAGATACGGCAGTCTGCTTGCATATAGATTGTAGCCTTGGAAACCCTATGGGCAGTTCTGCTCTGTCCTGTAGGGTTGCTATGAGTCAGAATTGACTTGATAGCAATGGGTTTGGTATTTAGCTCCACCCTTTCTTTTTTCAATCAGGGATGATTATCTAAATAATTATTTAATTAGCTTAAGTTAATTACAAAAAGAATCTGGTTACTTTAATGGATTGGTGAATATTTTGACATGAAATCCCTATATTTAACTATCCTATGTTTTACACATATGTATTCAGAACTCTGAAAAATTCTGAATAGTAGCACATTTTGAGTTAAGTTTTAGATGGCCTGAGCTTATAAAATGCTCATGCAGATGGCTCAAGCCAAGTACAATTCTAGTCTTACTAGAGCAGTGCCTAAAGTTTGAAAGCCAAGCTACACTCAGAATGTGGAGGTATTTATCTTATACTTTGCAGTTGGCCTCAATTCATTATCTTTATGAATTTTAATTATATGAATTCTGTGTGTCATTTTATAAGTCAAGGACTTTTGCATACTTACATCCAAGTTGTAGACCTACTGAATATACAAAATTTAACATGTGTAGGTGGTAGCTATATGTTGGTATAAGGGAAATCAATGCAGTCTATCTATTCAGTTCAGTTCCAATTCAAATCTATTCCATTCTGTTCCCAATTGCACATGCAAACTTCTTCCTCTGATCCTAACCACTGAGCTAGATCATACCTCAAGTTAAAGAGCATAGTCCTTCAGACTACCAGCCACGAACTTGGAGGCCCCCACAACACTATCACTTCTGACCTGCTGGCTACAAATTTGAGGGTATCCTACTACCCCCTCAGGAAGTCATCCATAAGCTCGGAGATCACCAAGGCCCCCCTCACTTCTGACCTGCTGGCTTCCACTACTTCCTTGACTTCGATAATTTGCTAGAATGACTGACAGAACTCAGGAAAGTGCTATACTTATTATGGTTTTATTATAGTAAAAAGGATATAAATGAAGAGACACACTGGGCAAGGTCTGGGAAGGTTCCCAACACAGAGCTTCCATGTCCCAGAAAGGGATGTGTTGCTGTCTTGTGTGCATCGATGTCTGTCACCAACCAGGAAGCCCATGGAGCTTCTGTGTCCGGAGACTTTACTGGGGCCTCATTACATGTTAGCGCCCTGGTGGCGCCGTGGTTAAGCACTTGGCTGCTAACCAAAAGGTTGGTAGTTTGAACCCACCAGCCGCTCCGTGTGAGGCGGTCTGCTCCCGTAAAGGTTACAGTCTTGGAAACCCTATGGGGGCAGTTCTACTCTGTCCTATAGCGTCGCTATGAGTCAGTCATAGGCTGGTGGGTTCAAACAGCTGACCTTTTGGTTAGCAGCCAAGTGCTTAACCACTGTGCCATCAGGGCTCCTTTATTACAGAGGCATGATTGATCGAGTCATGCCTCCTCACCCTAAGGTCAGCTGATATACTCTGGGTCTTTCTAGCCTAGCTAACCCGCACCTGAGTCATCTTACTATAAAAACCTGTAAAGTATTGTCGTTCTGGAGTCCTTATAGTTAACAAAGCCACTTCAATCTCTGGGGGTATTCCAAGGTTTTAGAGGTTATCTGTCTCTCAGGAACCAACGATAAAGACCAAATGTTTTGGATAAACTTAACTGTAAACCCCAAGATTTGTTTTTAAGATCTGTGGAGAAGTATTCAGATGAAATGATAGTCATTATTTTAATGAGGAAGACTAAATTTTCCACTATATATGACTTTGGTTTGAGGTTTTTTGTTACATTGCTGCTGTCCCATTGATAATTTTCCTGATTTTCAGCTTGTTAATAAACTGTTTGAGTTCCTGGAAAGTATTGGTTAGTGTTTCTTTAGAATACTTATCTGCATTTAGTATTTGCTTTTTCAAATTGGAAGCTGCCTTGAAGTCAGGAACTGTGTTTTGGTCACTTTGTATTCTTGGTGCCCAACAATATGTGCTTGATACTGGCTCAATAAATAGCTGAATGAAGAAAAGTTCATCCCTGTGCCTTTCTCCCTTTCTCTGGCTTCAGTTCTGTATAGGTGTGTTAATGCCAAGGTGCCAGTGTGGTACCTGGTCACACATAGCACCTTTCCAGTGAGGCTAGTCCATCTCTGGTAAAGGAGACTTCTCATCTGGTTGAACTAGTGCAACTTACTGTTTTCTTGCTTCCTAAAACTAAAATGGGAAACGTTCTTACTTATTCCACTGTAACTGCTTGTTCTGTTTCCTTAGGAGAAGTTTTTGCAATATGTGGAAGCTGTGATGCTTTGGGAAATTGGAATCCTCAAAATGCTGTAACTCTTTTTCGAGAGAATGAGACAGGTGAAGGGTAAGCATGGAGATGTTGAGTTACAGAATAACTGTGACATCCTTGGTTTTGTTTTGTTTTTTTTTTAATTTTATTTTAGTTTTAACTTTTGTGAAAGTTGTCACATGCACAGTTTAAAGACTGAAATCGTTTTACAAAATTTGTTGTGAAAACACAGGTTCCTGTGTTCCTTGGTTACCACCTGTCAAGCAAGCACTTTCAATTCTTGGCTGATTCTTTTGGTATTTACCAGCATGTTTCTAAATAATAGGCTTATATTGCTATTTTTTATTTTTAAAAAATGTTTAGGCATTATCTTTTGGCTTCTGATTGCATATTCTTGATAAAAGATATTCAAAATTACTTTTTGTTTTAGCCTATAAAATTATTTTCTTGAAGTAATGGTTTAATTACAAGTAACAAGAGTAGAGCACATACTAAGGAGTGCTGGTGAACAAGAGTAGAACACATACTAAGGAGCCTAGGTGGCACAACAGTTAAGCTTTTGGCTACTAACTGAAAGATAGGTGGTTCAAACTCGCCCAGTGGTTTTGCAGAAGAAAGACCTGGTGATCTGCTCTGTTAAAGATTATAACCTAGAAAACTCTGGAGGCAGTTCTACTCTTGTCACATGGGGTCGCTCAGTCAAAATTGACTCGATGGCACCTAACAACTGCAAGAACACATACTTAGATATCTTAGCTAAAGTAATGGAATGAATTCACTACCAGCATTAAATATAGAACTGGATTTAGCATGGGTGTATTGGTTCATTGGACTGGGAAAAGGGGGAGCTAGGTGTTGGTAATCAGCTCTGCAGCTAACTGTAATCTTGGGTAGATTTACTGTCTTTAGGCCTCAGTCACCATATCTGTACAGTATAGGGGTTGGTTTACAGTCTGTGAATATCAACAAAGGTGATACTTACCCACTCGGTATTTGGACTTGTTATGGGTTGTCAAAGTGTATGTGTGAGGGGAGGAGGAGGGAAGAGATCCTGAATAGGCTACAAATACATCCGTTACACCTATGGAGAAACACTAGACTGGGTGATTAAGGCTCTTTAGGCTCAAATTCTATTTTTCAGTAGAGCAGCACTACTCAAAATATGGCCTGTGGACCATGTTAGTCCAAAAACTTTTTTATCAGTCCATGATGTGAGAAATAAAAAAATTGAGAGCCAGCATTTAGAAATGTTTATAGCAGTTTGACATTGTCAGGACACCCATGTATGTCATCCGTGGATTCATCTCATTGAACTGGGTACGTAGACCAGAAGTACTGGTTGCAGAACAGATTGAATAAAATAAACAAGCAAGCAAACAAAACTAGTCCTTCACAGCAGGTAATTTGAGGAGTACTGATGGCAGAGCAAAGAAAAATAAGAGAGTAAAACAATACCATAAGCTAAGGGAATGGAAACAAAAAATAGAGCAGCCTTTAGCTGGAATGACAAGAGAGAAGATGCAGATAACCGAAATAAAAAATGAAAGAAGGGATGTAACAACCGACACGGTGGAAATAATGAGAATTATGACAATATTAAGAACTACAGTGGCAGCAAACTAGATAACTTAGATGAAATGGACAGATTTCTTAGAAGCACACAACGTACCTGACTGACTCAAGAGGAAATAAAGTCTCAACAGACCCATAACAAATGAAGAGATTGAATCAGTGATCAAAAACCTCCCAGCCAAAAAAAGTCCCAAACCAGATGGCTTCACTGGGGATTTCTACCAAAGATTTAGAGAAGAATTGAAACAAATACTGTCTAAACTCTTCCAAAAGGTAGAAGAAGGAAGTAATACTCCCTAATTCATTATATGAAGCAAACATAACCCTGATATTCATACCAGACAAAGACACCACAAGAAAACTACAGGCCAGTGTATCTTATGAATACAGGTACAGATATTCTCAACAAAATACTGGTAATCAGAATCCAACAGCATATTAAAAGAGTCATACACAACGACCTAGTGGAATTTATTCAAGGAATGCAGGGATGGTTCAACATTAGAAAATCAATCAATGTAATACACGATATCAGTAGAACAAAGGGAAAAAACCACATGATCATCTCCATGGATGCAGAAAAAGCATTTGATAAACTCCAACACCCTTCCGTGATGAAAACCCTCAAGTAGATTGGAATAAGAAGGAAAATTCCTCAGTGTGATTTCCGGGAATCTATGAAAAGCCAGCAGCCAACATACTTAATGGCGAAAGACTAAGAGCTTCATTAAATCGGAAACAAGACAAGGGTGTCTGCTCTCACTGCTTCTGTTCAATATTGTGTTAGAAGTCCTAACCAGAGCAATAAAACAATAAAAAGAAATAAAAAGCATCCACATTGGAAAAGGAGTAAAATTATCTGTATTTGTTGATGATATGGTCCTATATATAGAAAATCCCAAAGAGTCTACAAGAAAATTTCTAGAGCTAATAGAGGAATTTAGTAAAGTTGCAGGTTACAAGGTTGTCGACAAACAAAAATCAGGTTTCTTCTATACACCAGCAGTGAGAAATATGAAAGGAAATTAGGGACACAATTCCATTTATAATAGCATCTAAAAGAATAAAATATCTAGGAATAAATCTAACCAGGGATGTTGTCCTAGTTATCTAGTGCTGCTATAACAAATACCGCAAGTGGATGGCTTCAACAAAGAGAAATTTATTCTCACAGTCTAGTAGGCTACAAGTCCAAATTCAGGGCATCACCTCCAGGGGAAGGCTTTCTCTTCTCTGTCAGCTCTGGAGGAAAGTCCTTGTCATCACTCTTCTCCTGGTCTGGGAGCTTCTCCACACAGGAACCCTGGATCTAAAGGACATGCTCTGTTCCCTGCACTGCTTTCTTGGTGGCATGAGTCCCCCCACTCTATGCTAGCTTCTCTTTAAAGATAACAGGTGATGCAGACCACACCCCAGGGAAACTTCCTTTACATTGGATCAGGCGTGTGACCTGGGTAAGGTGTTACATTCTATCCTTATCCTCTTTAACATAACCTAATCTTGCCCCATTAACCACAGGCAGAGATTAGGATTTACAACACATAGGAAAATTACATCAATCACAAAATGGAGGACAACCACACAATACTGGGAATCATGGCCTAACAAAGTTGACACATATTTTGGGGGGACACAATTTAATCCATGACAGATGTGAAAGATTTACACAATGAAAACTGTAAAACACTGCTGGAAAAGGTTAAAGAAAAATAAATGGAAAGATGTTCCATGTTCATGGATTAGAAGACTTAACATTGATAAGATGTTAATACTACCCAAAGTGGTTTATAGATTCACTGCAGTCCCGATCAAAATTCCAACAGCCTTCTTTACAGAAAGAGAAATATCAATTCTCAACTTTATATGGAATGGCAAAAGGCCCCGAATATCTAAAACAATATGTGGAAAGAGAACAACAAACTAGGGGAGAACTCATACTTCCTGATTTTAACATAGTATACAGCTGTTGCAGCCCTGGTGGTGCAGTGGTTAAGAGCTCGGCTGCTAACCTAAGGTGCTCTTTGGAAACCCTATGGGACAGTTCTACTCTGTCCTTTAGGGTCACTATGAGTCTGAATCAACTCGATGGCAATGGGTTTGGTTTGGATACAGCTATAGTAATCAAAACAGTCTGGTACTGGTATAACAATAGATACATAGACCAATGGAATCGAATTGAGAGTTTATAAATAAACCCACACATCTGTGGTCAACTGATTTTTGCCAAGGATGCTAACTCCATTTAATGGAGAAAGAAGAGTCTCTTCAATATATGGTGTTGGGAAAATTGGATTTCCACATGCAGAAAAATGAAAAGGATCCATGTCTCACACCATACACAAAAACAAATTCAAAATAGATTAAGGACCTAAATGTGCAAACTAAAACCATAAAATTCTTAGAAGAACAAACAGGGGCAACACTGTCAGGCTTAGCTTTCAACAATGGATAATATAATAACGTAAGTACAAATAGCAAAAGACAAATGGGACCTCATAAAAATTTAAAACTTTTGTTCATCAAAAGACTTTACCAAAAAAGTGAAAAGACAAGCTATGGACTAGGAGAATATTGTTAGAAACCGTGTATCTGACAAGAATCTTATAACCAAATATATGTAAAACTTTGACAACTTAATAAGAAAAAGACAAATAATCAAGTTATAAAATGGCTAAAGACTTGAATAGATATTTCACCAAAGAGGATACTCAAATGGCCACCAAACACATGAAAAGATACTCAGTGTCATTAGCCATCAGAGAGATGTAGATCAAAACCACAATGAGATACCATTTGACTCCCACCTAGGATGGCTAAGGATCCCTGGTGGTGCAGTGGTTAAGAGCTTGTCTGCTAACCAAAAGGTTGGCAGTTTGAATCCACCAGCTGCTCCTTGAAAACCCTGTGAGTCAGTTCTGCTGTCTTATAGGGTCGCTATGAGTTGGAATTGACTCGATGACAATGGGTTTAGGATGGCGAAGATAAAAAGAAAAGTGTTGATGAGGATGTGGGAAAATTGGAACTCTTACACATTGCTGGTGGGAATGCAAAATGGCACAGCCGTGGAAAACAGTGTGGTGGTTTTCCTCAAAAAAACTAAAAATGCAACTATCATATGACCCAGCAATTCCACTCCTAGGGGTATATATACCCAAAATACTTGAAAGCAGAGACTCAGAAAGGGATGTGTGCACCAGTGCTCATTGCAGCACTATTTACAATCGCCAAAAAGAAGCAACCTAAATGCCCATCAACAGATGAATGGATAAACCAAATGTGGTACATAACACAGAATGGAATACTGCTTAGCCAGTAGGAGAGATGAAGTCTTGATACATGCTACAGTATGGATGGAGCTTGAAGACATTATGCTGAGTGAAGTAAGCCAATCCAAAAGGACAAATATTGTATGACCTCACTTATATGAAAAGACCAAAAAAAAACCCACAATGAACACCTTTTTTCCTATTTGTCACTAGTGTAATACATTTTCTTAGCCAATTTCTTAGCTATTTTATAAGTAAGGTTCTATTGATAATTGATACTGGGATATAATACTCCTTTACTAGTCTTTCACAGAGGGATGAGATGTTTATTCCCTTCAAGTGGTTGTTTATTCCTTGATTTTCAAATCAGCCATTCTTATCTGAAGTGAAACTTCATTGTCTTTCTGAACTTGTCCCCATAACATGCTTCTGCTCTGAACTCTTGAGCTGCTCTGTCACCTGTCTTTAAGTTGATTTCAGCCAACCTGGTCAAAGTGCTATTAACAGAATGAGATAACTCTTAACTTTGAGGGACCAGATGTTATATGTTGCTGATGTACACTGAAATACAATCAGTTCACATTTAGCAGATATACTTAGTGCTTCACAGGAAGAAAGGAGGTAGATGATATAATTAGAGAATCCGGTTGCCTTTGGACAACATTCTTGTGTCTTAGAATTGTGTTTCTTTGGGATTTCAGTGTACTCTGCATCCACGTTCTCTGTGCCCCTCTTTTCATGGAGTTTCTCACACCTCCCTTTACTGGCTCTACAGGCTTGTGGTGGCAAGAGTGCTGTTGGAATTTTCTTTTTCTGCTTTTCAGTTACTTTAAAGGTCATGGTATTGTTTCCTAGTAATGCTGAAGGTATGGGTCACTTGTAGTTTTATTTGCTCTCCTTGTAGATTTTATGGTATTTTAGGGGAGGATATGAGAATGAGTCAGCATCATGCAGCTGCATTAATAAACCTTACTGTCCTTCTTTGCTGTTTTTTCTTGAATTTCATCGGGTTATGGTTAGTCTTGAAGTCACTGAATAGTTCTGGTTCTTTTTCTTTTCCCATTATATCTATGATGATAGTTTTATTATAAAGGATACAAATCAGGACCAGCATAAAGAAGAGACCACAGGATGAGGCCTGGATGGGTCTCAGATGCAGAGCTTCCGTGACCAGAAACGCATTACCCTCCTCTGCTTCAGTGTTCTAATTTGTTTTTAATCTGTGCTACATTTGCTTAGAGATATTTGTTTTACTTTCTCTGTCTCTCCATTTTGTGGTTGTAACCAGGACTGGTGGACATAAGAATCACTTGGGGGAGGACTTTTAAAAACTACACGTCTAGGCTCCACTCCTGGAGACTGAGAAATAGTGCATGGGAGACATGTTTTCAACACACTTTTCCAAGTTTCCCACTAATTCTGTTGTGCAGATGTGGGATAATTTTATGTATTCTAGCTCATTGTTTGTGGATGAAATTTGCCTTTTTTTTTTTTTTTTAAGCAGAGATAGCAAATAAATTTCAGCTGTGAGTTGGTAGCTTCTGCTTGAAGCCCTGTGTTAAAAGATGCTGAGGCTTATCAGGGGCACATATGCCAAGAGTTTGCTATGCCTGCTTTACAGCAGTCATTCTCAACCAGCCATGTAGATCTGAGTGCCCTGTGAAGTTTTATCAAACTCCACATAACTAGGCTCCACCCCAGGCCTATGAAATCAGAATCTTCTATGGTAGAACCAGGACATATGTATTTTATTAGTACCAGATTCACTTTATTGTCAGAGCCAGGACTGTATGTGACAGCTACTTGTGGATATTTTGTTAAGAGCCAGGATGGAGTCAGAGTGCAGATAATGCCCCAAAATCTGTCTTGGCAGAGCCAGGTTGGCAGCAGTGGTAGCCCTCTGGTATCATGGAAGAACGTGTTTGGAGCTGCCGTTTACTCACTGAACTACTGAATTGATGTTTGGGTAATGGTCTATAACAGTGGCTCTCAAACTTTAGTGTTCATTAAAGTTGCCCAGAGACTTGTTAAAACACAGATTACTGGGTCGCACCCCTAGAATTTTGGGTTCAGCAGGTCTGGGTGGGGACTGATGATTTGATTTCTGACAAGCTCCTAGGTGATGCTGATGGTCCTAGGACCACACTTTGGATACCACTGGTTTATGATTTGAAGTTAAAAATCAGTTACAGTCATAAATTGTTATGAATTCTTTTATCTCCAGACAGCTATTGAGTCAAAGCTTTAGTTAGAATAGCATAGGTCAGAGGAAGACATTGAATTGAAGCAAGTGAGATACAGATGCAGATTGCTTGGTTGGGTAAATGGCTAGAGACGGGGCAGGACAGTTAGAACAAGGGACAGTCAGGAACATGAGTGTAACTTGCCCATGTTCATCCCTTACTCGTGACACAAAGACATTGTCCCCAATGCCTCTTGGCTGCCATATAACATCCCTAGCTAAGTGGGAAGTAAGAGAAGATTTGGGCTCTGGCTTCCACCTTTGAACTGCTTGGTTTTTCTGTTTGGGGTATTTCTGGCTCTTTGTATTGCTGGTTCCTCCTCATCACTTAAGTCTCAGCTCAGATAGTTTTTCCTCAGTGAGGCTTTCCCTCCAAAACTTCCTATCATATCAGAAAGGTCAAGTAGCCCTTATTACTATGATCTGCAGTTGTATCTTGTCTAGTTACCTATCTACCTCCACAAGAAAGAAAGCTCCTTGAAGATGAGCCTCTTTCTGCCTTGATCATCATTGTGTTCCCAGTGCCTGGTGCAGAGTAGGCCTAGTACGGTTTGTGGAGGAGTGGATAAATGGTATTGGTCATGGACCTAACTTGAGGGGTTTTATGAACTATGAAGTCTTTATGCATTTCAATTTGAAATTGATGCTGCTGCTTTTGATTTTTTTTCCCCCTCACAGCATGTTATGGAAAGCAACCATTGTACTCAGTAGAGGAATATCAGTTCAATACCGCTACTTCAAAGGGTGCTTTTTAGAACCAAAGGTATGTTTTCTTTATCTAGTTTCCAGTTTCTCAAGCAAATGTATTTCTTTCAAAAGCTACTAACATAAGTTTGAAAACGAAGTAAAATGAGTTTGTTTTGGTCAAATAACAAAAAAATAACTCTAGATTAATAGCATGTTAGTATCAAAAAGCAAGGAGTTAGCCACTTCAGAGGCAGACAGTGTCTGCAATGGAATTTTTAAGAGACTAATAGTAAGTATATTCTTCAATATTCTTTTCATGAAATTGGTTTTAATGATAAATATAATCTATGGGTGTGCATTTTCTGTAACTTTTGTAAACTAGTTAGTAACCAGTTGTAAGGGTTTTTCTTTTTGTTTTGATTTTAATTCCTTATGTAATGTAAATACACTTAGAGGAGTATATAGCCAGCTTTGAGTAATTTATTTTTAAAATTTTCACAGCAGCCATCTCTTAGTGGCTGTGTTGTTTAACTTTTATCAAAATTGGAGTGATTCCTCTTAGATTTTTTTCAAAAATGGTCTTGATAGGCCAGGATCTTTTCTGAAGACCTTTGACTATTAAATCTGCTTGCTCACAATGATTTTTTTATATTGAGATTGTTTCATATTTAGAAAAGAAAAAAAAAAAGAGTTGATTCTTTTTTCAAAGATACTTATTTGCTGAACGGATTATTTTGCTTCATATTTTTACCTTTGAGCATACTTAGGCTGCATGTGAACAGGGCTTAGGCAGGAGTCTAGGAATCACAACATGGATTAGATCTTTTTTAAAAAATGTATTTCCCTTAGGGGTCAGTGAACACTTGTTATGTGTGAAAAATGCAAGCAGTCACTGTTACCCATTCATTCTCTTAGCCACCATTATAAAAAAGAAAGAAGACTGACAAACCCACTTCAGCTGTCTTTTGCACCTATTACGTTTCTTAGTCCAAGAATATATTGTAAATACTCAGTAACTGAACTTAAATTATATTATGGTTGATCATTGTGTTGGCTTATCTTGACAATAGTCTCACTTTAACAACTTAAGAAAAGGGCATCTATCAGTCATTTGGCATAGAAGTTACGTATAGTGTTCTTCAGTATAAATTGAGCATGTGAGTATAGATACACAAATCATAGCACTCATGACATTAACAGCTTATTTGAGGGTCCTATTATGTGAAATTTAGCATGGGAAATCAACCAAAGTTTACTTGGAAGGGGATGTTTAGACAAGATATAAGTATTAATGGGCATGGTTTTCTAAAGTAAGACTTTTGTCAACACAGGTCGAATTAAGCCAACCTATAGTATTTTTTTCTCTTCATTGAAAATGTAATCAAAAACAGCAAACCAGTCCAAAACGCCTTTTTGAAAAAATTGGCAAGAAGTCTACTTATAGTAAAAAACAAGTTTCCCCGCTTGTAATACTTGCAAAAGTTTACAGTATGTGTTGGTGAGTGTGTTTCTTTAAGTAGGTGGTCTGTATCGTGTACACATGTACCGTGTGATGCAGGGGCTGCCATGGTAAGTATGTTTTTCATGGAATAGAGTAAATAGCTACATAAAATCCCATGCATATGGCTAGAGTTTTCTCCCCCCCACATGCCAGCTTAAAGTGACACTTCCTTTTGTTTAAAAGTTGGTGGTGCTTTTAAAACAAAGCATAACTTTTAATAGAAATATTATGAAACTTTGGATTGTGCATTGCCAAATGATGTAATGTATAAGGAATCTTCAGTTGTAAAATAAGGTAAATTATTGGAATGCATATTTTATGAGCATAAAGAATGATAGCAAAGTAATGACGAGAGCATGAAAAAACTGAATTGGGAGATAAGATTGATTTTTTTTTTTCTTTTTGGAAGTAGTCTACCCAGACAGTGGTACTTGGAAAGAACCTAAGCTAAAAATCTTGTGACTTGGACAAGTTACTTAGACTTCAGCTTTCCCATGAGGGTTTGACTTGAAGATATTTTAGGTCCCTTTGCTAAAATTTTTATTGTAAATAAATGAAATTTTATCATTCGTATTTTCTCTTCCATACTTTGCTTTATCTGGCATACTCCTTTTTGTTCAGAAGTTAGAGTCCTGAAATCCTTTTTCTCTTAATTTTTCACAACTACTCAGTCTTTACATTTTGTGAAATTAAAATAAGATGTTAATGTGTTGAATTTTTAAATAATTTTACAGATTACAAAGCAAAATGTTCTCAAAATACAAACATAGCAAACAAAGGTAGTGGGTATTCTTGGAATGAAAACATTGATGTGAGTCTGCAGATACACCATTAATTTCACATCTTCACCAAAGATACTTTTTAAATTAACGTGTAATTTAAACGCTTCTGATCCATGTCTACCTCCTTTGCTTGTGCCTGGAACTAGGGATGTTTTCTCATAATGAAATGTTAACAACTTTTTAATTACATTGTTTTTGAAATTTTTCCTTTATTTCAGTGGAAGTAGGTCTTTATTTTTCAGTAACATTTCTATGCTTCTAATTTTTATGGGTGCTAACATACATTAATAATTAGGTTCATCCCATACTCTTTGCATTGTTCTTAATCTCCCCTGATTTTTGTTTAATCCCTGAACATAAGAAACAGGCTTTAGAGAGTGGCCCTCAGTGATAGGCATATGATTGTTTGTTTTCAAAATAACCCAAGTTGTCATTTCTACAATAGATTCGTAATATAGTAAATTTCTTTTGGATGCTGTATACTCTTACATGTTAGCTGAGATTCAAACCTTCTCTGCGATATTTGTCAGCCTAGCTTCCTTTGCTTTAGTCATTCCTAGATGACCATGTTTTTATTGGTCTCATCAAAAATAATGATTTTAATAGCTATAGATCGGGCCTTAAATGACACAGATGAATTCAAATTATCTTTTACAAAATTGTGGAAAGAAACAATCAGTAAAATTTTAAAAGTTTACTTTTTTTTTTTTTTAATGATAAGTGAAAGTAGTGCTTTTACATGACTAGCTGATTATTTTGCTTGGTAGTTTGTTAAAAAACAAAACCTATCTACCTGTCGGCGGTCATTAAGTTTTTTTTTTTTTTCCTGAGGAGACAAGTGGGTTTTTAAATACTTTTTTATTAATATGCATGCTTGAAAACATTTCAGCAATCATCTGATTTATTATATGCTAAATTGTGAAATAACTTTACCAATACTGTTAATGGAATATTATCTTGGACTGATACTGTTACTTTTTCCCCCAAGGATCCTCCTCCCACTTAGCTCCAAAATGCGTAAAATCTGGCAGCTTTTTGCAGAATAGAACTGTTCTTTTCTCAGATCTCAATGAGTTGTTACAGTTAGCATATTAGAAAGGATTGCATGTTTTGGAGTCATCACTGAGATTTTAAGTTTCCCGGTGTTCAAGTCTTAATTTTTTTAAAAAACAACTTCAGTAAAGCTGAAAATTTATTACATTCTGGAGTTTAATAAAGTAATCATAACACATTTTGGAAATTCAAAGTGTCTTAAAACTTGGTTAATTTTTTTCAACATTGTAACCAACCAACATGGATTTGCAGTATGAATGCTGATAGACACAGTTGTAAGTTATCCGTCGCAGTGGACCTTTTGGACTGCTACACAAATACTCCATTCTGTACACATCTAGGTGGTCTTATGCTGTGAGTAGTGGGTTGGTCAAAGGGGGATGCCTTTGTTAAAGAGTTGTTAAAATTGCTACTAAAATGTGTTTCCTACCAAACATTTAATTCACACAGCTATTTTTACATGGTTAGGTATAGGTACTGTGTCAACACTTCTGTAAAGTTACCAAGGCCTAAATTAAAACAAAACAAACAAAAAAATCCCTCTCCTTTCCTCTACTCACTTTTTAATCTCCGCCTATGTTTGTCATATTCATGGTACCCTTTTTAATGTACTTTTGATTAGTAATTTTTATAAGAATATAGGTCCAAACTATCCTTACAGAGTAGAGGTTTTAGGGAATAGGTTAGTTCTTTCTGACTGCTTATTATTCCTAAGAAAGATTATTCCTATTTTTAATGTATAAATTTGTGTTTTTTGAGTGTTAGAAAGTTTTGTGGTTAAAATGCAAATTCAAAATCATATGCCAGGTAAAAAGTTGTAGTAAAAAACATCTAGCTGATGTAGAATTAAATATAGTAAATTTTTTAGTGAATTGAAATGAAATTCACCCTATTTTAAGATAGGCAGTTTCACATTTCTATTGTTAGAAAAATCTACCCAGTCTACCAATTCATAAGTGAACCCTTGTAGCAAGGAGGTATTCAGCTAGAGAAAATGAGCATTCCCTTCTTTTAATATCCCAGCATCAATGATTGGAGTGAATGGCTAATGCTATTTTAGTTTCCAAACTTCGAAAGCTTGCAAATATAAAAAAAAAAAAAGTTTTTTAACCTATAGTCATTTTTAAGTGGCAGAATTATTTCTTGTGTTTAATTACTTAGTAATATACCTAATTTGTTACATACATATTGTCATTTGCCACTTGTCAAATATAATCAGTATTAAAATCCTATAAACTGTTACAAAAGAGTATTTAATGCCATGTAACAATGTACAGTATAAACTTATATGTTCTAGGCTTTTTAAGAATACTGTATATATAATACCTGCATAGAAAGGACTCAAAGATTATCCATAAAAATGTTGATAGTGATTATCTCTAAGTGGTATTCTAATCAGTAGTTTTTATTTTTTCTTATTGCTTCTCTGTATTTTATTACATTTTTACAGAGACTATGTAAAGAAGAAAAATTAAAATTATAAGGTTGTAGTTTGAAGATTTGCTTTTAAATATATATAAGATTTTTATTTTGGCACATACTTTATTATTTTTAATAATCAAAGGAAAATTAGGTATCAGTCCTTTAGGTATACTAAGGAATCTTTGGTGGTAGTTTATTCTTGTTTTTAAATTACTGTAGAAGTTACCAACAACACATAAAACTATTTTCTTTTTTTGGTAAGGGAACTTGATAATAGAAGACAGTATTAGGAATTTTAAGACTATATGAATTTATAATTCCTAAGGCATAATAGTAAAACTGGATGTTAATTCCCCTTTTATCAAACTTGTTCTTCAGATTTACCCATCCATGTGTTCTTTCTTTTATGGTTGCCTATACTCTTTAGAAATGCTGGTTATTGTGGTCAGAGAAATCTGGTGTTCTTCCTGTTTTCATTTAGTATTCTTAAATAGGATTGCTGTGAGTCAGAATCGACTCAGTGGCAATGAGTTTTTTTTTTCTCCCTATTCTTAAATAAATAAAGAACTTTATGCCGTTTAGTTCCTTGAGTAACTTGTGATAATTGAGCTTGAAGTACTTGTTCTTACTATTCCTACTATTGGAGAGTTGTTGGGGCTTTTCAGATTATTGGAGAGTTGCTTGGAGAGCAGGAGATGAATCAATAAATATATTCTCTAGTAACACCTCATTGACTGCTGACATACCAAACTTAAAGGATATTTGGTGTTAACTTCAACTTTTTTTCAACAACAAAATTTTAGTTACAAATTTCTATTTCTTTGAAAAAATTGAGTATTGCAGACAGATTAAAAATGGGTTTAAGACAGTTCTGTGTGCCAGTTCATCTTTTTTTTTTTTTTTTTACTGCCTTACTCTCATTTTCTTCCAGCACTCATCATGTTTTTTGACCTGGTACAGTCCTGATTTTTGGCATATAATATTGATGATTAACAAAATGAATCTCTTGGTTTCATATTTAGTATAAGACGTAGGCCACAAACAGCTAATGGAGTCATGGGTAGAAAATAAGATATAAGAAATTATTGCAGACGTTTAACTTTTAAATTGCAGACTATCGGTGGTCCATGTCAAGTCATAGTTCACAAGTGGGAGACTCATCTACAACCACGATCAATAACCCCTTTAGGTATGGGCATTAACTGCATCTGTTTGAGGCATATGCATAAAGTTACTAATATGCTGCACAATGGCTTAGTGGGATTTAATACATTTTTATTCTAAAGTTTAAAGTCAATGCATTGTCCGTGCTACAAATTTCACTTAGCATTTCATGGATCTTACTTCCAAAACTAAACAGTTCTTAATTGCTTTTCTTTATAAACTTTATTAGAAATGCTTGCCTAGTTATTTTTATTTTCTTGGGTTAGATTAACTTCTTATGAAATATGTATTTTTATTTGGAGTAGTTCTAAAGTTTATAAAATAACATTCTTCTTGAACTGGGCATCCATGGCTTTATATTATCTGTTCAGGTTTAGAGAATTTTGAGGAAAGAAAGAATCCAAAACAAAGATTTTTAAACTTTTAACTTTGAGTAGTAAGAGAATAAATTATCCTATTTATTATTATTTTTTCTTTCCTTAACTAGTAAATGCTTGAATAAACTTGTATGAATAAAGTAAAATTTCTTGGTTATAGCAGACATATATTCTTCCTAATTTACTTAAATTCCCTGCTGGCTGTGTTAGAATTGAGATATTCAGATAGCTTTGTTTTGTTTTTTTAACACATAGTTTTCTTGTGCCTAAAAATGACATTTTTCTTCATACAAGTATTTTTGAATTTTTTTCTATACCAAAATTAGAGTTTGAAGTTCATTTCACATATTTAGCTTACCTACTTGTATTCATCTGTAAATTGATTCAATGCTGTGAAATGTATCTTTTAGTTTCTAGGTAAAGTTAGAATTTAAAAATAATAGATGGCTTTCTAGTTACTAACTTAGATTTGAAAGTAGTGGGATTTCTGCTTTACCCTGTAGCAAGGAAACATCTCATTTAAACAAATATCTCATTCCATCCTCTTGGATTTTCTTTTTATATATTTTAGTGCATTTTTGATAGTGTATTTAGAGTTTTTATGATAGTGTACTTTAGCGTTATAATAGTCCCATACTGAGGTTGGAAATTATTAGGTATTAAACATTTAAACAATTTGCATTTTGAAATATTTTGCAGTTAAATATATTATTGTCAGAAGTGGGATGATTTTGCTTTTGGTCTTTTAAAAAGAAATTTCTCTGATGCCTTTGGGAACTATAATGTTCATATTTAAGAGCTTTGTAAAAAGTACCAGTGAATCTTTATTGGAAACTATCACTTATTTTGACAAATATTTCAGACTTATGTTTAAAGTAAATAAGGAAGGGAAAAAGGGAAGAGAATTAATATTTTACTTAGGGGGTGGGGCTTTACAGCTTTTCTTATTTGGTTGAAATTTTTGTTAGAGTTGGATGTGCTAGCACTTACTGATTTTTGGTAGTTCCTCACAGCTCTGTATATACAGGTAAGTTTGTAAAGTTTTTAGCTGGTTATAGAGAATAGCTGAGATTTCAGGAGAATTACATTTTAGGCAAGTTTGGAATATGCACTACAAAAGAATAAGCATTTTAATTGTGCCAAGACCTTTAGTTTGAAAAATCAACAAGGAGTTATCATTGTCAAACAGCCTGATAGTCTCGTATGTTGGTGGGTATAGAAGTTCGTCCCAGTGCCTCTAGAGCCTTTCTCTGAGGAGTTTTTTTTCTTTATTCCTTGTAATACTGTGCGCAATTACCAAAGTATGTGAGAATTATTACTTTTTGCTAGTGTCCTTAAAAGGGAATTCTTCCTGAGGGCTACAATAAATATGCTTATTCATGTTGGGCTGCTTTTAAGTTTAGATTTAATATTTTTAAAAATCCTTAAAGTGGGTAATTTTTCAGTTGTTCATTCTGTATACATCATGATTTTAACTAGGTTCCCTGTTTTCCTTTAATTCTAGAAAGTGAAATTGTTATTGACGATGGACAATTTGGAATCCACAGTAAGTGAGACTGCATTTTGAAAATGTTTATGATACATACGGTTGAAATGTTACCTTACATTCACTAGAAATATATAGCACAGGGAAATATGATAAAGTATGATTTCGAAAATAGTCTAGATCCAATAAACATGTATTTTTTTTAAGTTAATTTCCAGTATGATTCGTATGCTTTAGATTTTTATCCTTTTGGTATTTATTTGGTGGTTTCAGGTATGTTAATGTAATTAAGATTATTATGTTCTTGTTGGTAGCTGCCATTGAGTCCCCTTGACTCATGGTGATCCCGTGCGAACAGAACAAAACACTGCCTGGTCCTGCACCATCCCTGTGATTGGTTGTGGATCAGACCGTTGTGATCCTTAGGGTTGTCATTTGCTTATTTTCAGAGGTAGATCACCAGGCTTTTCTTACTAGTCCATATTAGTCTGGAAGCTCTGCTGAAACCTGTTCAGCATCATAGAAACACTCAAGTCTCCACTGACAGATGGGTGGTGCCTGCACCTGAGATGCATTGGCCCGGAAATGAACCTAGATTTCCCATGTGGAAGGCAAGAATTCTACCACTGAACCACCAATGCCCAAAATAATTATACTTAACTGTTGATATATTACTGCTTTTTAACACTAACAATATGTTTGAAAGTGATATTAACAGTTCTAAACATTTAAAGTGTGAACCGTTACTCTTCAGTTAAGTTTGTGTGTATGCATTTACAGTAAAATCCAGACTAACTAGAATGTTCTAGTAATTCCCGTTGAGTCTTTAAAAATTATAGTAGAGTGGAAAATGCTTTTACTTCTAAGTATATTGAAAATGTGATGCAATAGCATACTTTTCTGCTTCAGTAAATACTTGTCCTGAGAACTCAAATTTTCTTCAATAACTGGAATTCTCACAGTGTATCAGGGTTATCATGCTGAACTGCATTCTCATTTAAGGCACTATACTGTAAGAGTCAAAAGGTGTAAAGGAGTGGGTGGAACATGTACTTGCATGGGCTGCAAACCAGGGATAAATTGCTGATAACCAGTTTGCTTTCCTGCTGAATATAGGAAAGAACATTCTGTGAACGTTTTGGTTGTGGTTTTACTACGTACATGTGTTTATGCACATTAGAAATGTACTTGGATCTAGCTGTATTTGAATAAGAATTTCATTTATTTTCCTTGATTTTGTTTGTGATTATTTATATTACAACAGAATGTTGGTCTAAAATACTTGAATAGATTTCGTGTATAGTCTTTTAGAGTCTTGTTTCCTTTATTATTTACAAATGTTATTTATGCAACGTGTCAGAGAGATTTCTTTGTGGAGGAGTGGTTTTCTTGTTCTGCCATAAGGCACAGTATTATGTCCCTCTGTTATATGCTAATTACTATTTATCCTTACAAATTTCTGTCCTAATTTTTTTGTTAATTGTCCTAAATTCATTTTCAGCTAGCTTTCAGAATGTAAAGCTATTTCCCCAATTTACCCATTTCTGAAAACTGTGCTTAAAATTTAGAGAAGATAGTGATTTCTCTTTATTTTAAAAATTTGACAATGATTAAATTTTTAAATTATACCTAAGGATATAAAATTCTTGATTTTTTTCTTTTTTTAGTCTTATTGATGAAAAAGCTTAGGTTCAAATAGTTGGTAGTTTCTCTATTTTTTATGAAGTTTTTATTACTTATGTTTGTTGAGTTCACATTTCCAACTTCAGGTTAAACAGTGCTTAACAGTGTTATTGCAGTGATGCAGTTTACTTATGACAGAATATATAAATGAGAATATAGAATTGACCCAGTTTTATTCTTAACTGTCTCGTATCTAAAACCTTCGGCACCAGTGGCATAACTAGTTTCAGTTGAAACTTTTGAAATATTAGTGATTCCTAATGGAAGAATTGCCAGTCTAGAAGCCATCTTGGAACTTGTGTTCTTTCTGAAAGAGATTTGTTTTAGTTCAATAATGGATTCAATAAGAATCTTTTAATTTACTTAAGTTGTTAAAGCATGGATAATTGTTAATACTCATTTAATTTTTTTTCTCCCCACTTCAAATAACAGCTCTTTTTCAACAACAAATATAAGACTACCTATTTGTTTTGGGGAGAAGTACCACTGATGTATAACCTAGGCATTTTAAAATGTGAATGTGAACTAGAATATTCAACGCATAATGTAGTTTTTAGGTTGTTTCAAAAAACATGTATTAAATTACATGTATAACAGTGGTTGAACTGGCAAATGTTTCATATATATTTCAGAATAAAACAAATTTTCTGAAGTGTATAATAATTACTATTTTTCCTATTTACTCTGCCAGATGGTGTTGAAACTTTGGATTCTGGATGGCTGACATGTCAGACTGAAATAAGATTACGTTTGCATTACTCTGAAAAACCTCCTGTCTCAATAACCAAGAAAAAATTAAAAAAATCTAGATTTAGGTATGACTATGTGTATTTGTTACTTGAGTCATTTATTTTCATTAGTGCTATAGTGTTCAGACCCGTTTGGTTTTAGCCTTTAAGTGTATAAACTAAGACAATAACGCACTTATAGATAATGTCACATTTTCTCGTAATTACAGGGTCTTGTGATAGTGAGCTGCTTTCCCCTCTCAGATTGCTACAGGTACACATACTTATGTTAGTTCCTAAATTTGAAACCATAAGAATTTGTTTTTCTATAGATAAATGGTTTCTTTTTGTCATTTCTACCATTTAAAATTTCCTAGTGTAGCAATAAATAATTGGTAATAATGGAAATGATCTTGTGCTAAATGGGGGGAGAATAGCATAAGCAGAGAAAAACAATTGTTAGAAATATCCTTCAGTGTTCTAAATTAATACTGTGGCTTGAAAATAAGAAACCTTTCCATGAAGAAAAGTAGCAGTTACCATATCAGTTCTAGATTAGTTTTTTTTTTTTTAATGATTTTTTTGTGTGTGTTTTTCGTGAAGGTTTACCCAGCAGTTTAGTTTCCCGTTCAACAATTTCAACACAGATTGTTCAGTGACATTGGTTATATTCTTCACAATGTGTAAACATTCTCATTATTTCCATTCTGGTTGTTCCGTTTCCATTAATCTAGTTTCCCTGTCCCCTTACCTTCTCATCTTTGTTTTAAAGCAATTGTTGACCATTTTATCTTGTAAGGATGATTTTTTAAAGGAGCACAGTACTCATGGGTAATATTCATTATTTTGTGAGCCAGTCTTTTATTCAGTTAAAAGGTGACCTCGGGGATTTGTTTTGGTGCAAGGTTTAAAGAGTGTCTCGGGGCAGTAGTCTTGGGGACTTCTCCACTTTTTAAGCCTATATTAATTTAAGAAATAGATGCCAAGCTGTGTAAATGGCTAAATTAGTAACTTTATATTTCTGCAATGTCATTTATACATACTTCTGAGTGACCTGGCTTCTCTAAGAATCAGGCCCTACCCGATCATTTGAGTTTTTGTGACATTTGGGACTAAAAGTTCTAAGTATTGATATGTAATGTATCCTTTTCTAACTAAATGTCAGGGCCAGGTTGAAAGGGCCATTTTCAGTAACTGAAGTAATTAATCATATAATACTTATCTTCATAAAAAATTTATAATAATATTATATTTTGTAAATCCATAAATGCTTTACCTTAGCTGCTTAAATATTATAGTGCTTAAATATCACAGTCATGAAGTAGATAAGGGAAAGAATAGATGGCACTCCACATTCTTTTGCATTAGTGGTTCTGGGTTCTACTGTCAAGTTAAGGTGGACTTTCTCTCTGTGCCTTAACTTTTCTAGGCTTCTGCTTTGCTTGTGAAAAACTGAGGTTCATCTGCAGGATCCATTTGACCTCAAAGATTCTGTAACTGTAGTTAGATGTACATAGTTGAATATTTATAAATTAAAAGAAGCAAATAAATTGTATTGTTGTTATAAATGGTCTGATTTGACTAAGACCTTCAGATAAGGATAGAAGTAGAAGTTTAAATAAAGCCTTGGTTGGTTGGGCTTATTAGGATCCCCCCCCCCCACTAGAGTTAAGAAGTTAATAGATAACTAATGATTGAGATTTGATTAAAATACAAATGCTTTCTGAATTCTTGTTTACATAGAAATCACTTCGATTGTTTACAAATGTTACTGTGTTCCTTAGGCTTAAAATAAATTGAAATATTTTCTTAGAACAGTACTTAGTTCCGTTGTAACCAGGGTCACTGTGAGTCTGAACCGACTCGATGGCACCTAACAAGAGCAAACAGCCTGCTTAGTTGGACTCTACACATTAAATCACATTGATTCCTATGAAATAATTGTGTATAGCTACATATTTGTGTTTGTTCTGACCATCTTTTCCCAAAGTCGTATTAGTGATACACTAAGCCTTCATGGAATAGGAAATAAATTTATCTACAAAGACTTTAAAAACGTAGCAATGGCTTATGCAAATCATTTAAAATTCTAGACATGTGATCTCGTCTCATTACCACCAAGTTTTAAACACAAGTTTCCCTTTTCACTTGCCTCCATCAGTAAGTGCAAAGTAGTATCTCTTTATGATAGACCATACCATTTATATGGCTGTTTGAAGAAAACCTTTTACATAAATACAATGAACTACGTACTGAGTTCTATTAAAGACCCTATCCTTTTAAACTTGATTTTTTTTTGTTTATATAGAAAAACATTGCTGTTGGCAGAATAGCTATTTTTGTCTTCCATGCCTCGCTTTCCTTACCGACACTTGGCGGTCCCTTTTCATATATCCTAGCAGTGAACACTTGACTCCTTCAGACTCACCAACAAAATAAATTGTCCAGAACCTTTCCTAAGTGTTTGGTTTCTGAGAAGAGATGATTATTTTTGTTTTGGGTTTTTTAAATGCTACTTTTGATTTTATAGTGTGATTACAGAATAATAGTACTAATTGGATAATCTGTATAGGTATCCCCCTCAAGTGTACATCAGAATTATGTGGCTGTTAGACAAGCCTCAGTAGTGTTTGAGGGCAGGGGCCTTAACATGCGGGCCTTAACAAAACAATTCTATTATTTGTGTTACAAGTTGAGTTTCCTGTAAATCTAGAATGAAAAATTTTAGCAGCTCAACTGTTAGTCTCTACAATAACATTGCTCCTTAAGTTAATGGTATTGCAGTTGTTCAGTCTATATACATTCCAGTTGTTGTTGTTAGTTGCCGTGGAGTCACTTCTGACTCATAGCTACCCTAAGTACAACAGAATGAGATGCCCAGTTCTTCGCCATCCTCACAGTCATTTTTATGCGTGAGCCCATTGTTGTAGCCACTGTGTCAGTCCATCTTGTTGAAGGTCTTCCTCTTTTTCACTGACCCTCTACTTGACCAAGCATGATGTCCTCGAGGGACTGATTCCTGCTGATAATATGTCCAGCTTTCCTGTCCCCTCCTGCCTTCTAGTTCTTGCCCCTGGGCTGGTATGCCCCTTTAGTCCCATTTTGTTTTATGGGCTTAATCTTTGGCTGAAGGGTGAACCTCGAGAGTGACTTCATTACGGAGCTAAAAGGGTGTCCAGGGGCCATACTCTCAGGATTTCTTCAGTTTCTGTCAGACCAGTAAGTCTGGTCTATTTTTGGGTGTGTGTGAGTTAGAATGTTTTAGATTTTTTCCACTTCTCTGTCTTGGACCCTCTATTGTGATCCCTGTGAGAGCAGTCAGTGGTGGTAGCCGGGCACCATCCAGTTGTGCTGGACTCAGTCAGGTGTGGGCTGTGGTACTTGCGGCCCATTAGTCCTTTGGGCTAATCTTTCCCTTGCGTCTTTGGTTTTCTTCTTTCTCCGTTGCTCCCTGCAGAGTGAGACCAGTGGAGTATCTTAGATGGCCGCTCATGAGTTGACCTTTTAGATTGCAAGTAGTGCTGTGTATAGGTAATTGCTCCTCATTGGGAGAAGACTGGACTGTGACTCTGTGGCCTGGGTAACTGGTCTTAACTGTTTCCGTCACTGTGAGACCTATTAAGAGTTCGAGACTCTTGATTTTTTGTTTATTTCATATATTCCATATATTTATGTGTATATGTACGTAGATAGGTTTAATACAATTTTTTTCTTTAGTAATATATTTTTCACAAAGTACCTGGACTTTCACTGTGGTAGAGTACGGAAAAAACTGTTAATTTACAATCTCCAACTCTAACTGCCTTTTAATGCACAGTAACGGGTTCGATTTTGTACTTGTGTTACATATATACATTTGTGAAATCTCTAAAAAGGAGGTCTTACTATTATTTGAAGTTTAAGAAATTTATATAGCCAGCTATAAATGGGATAATAGTATAGCTCTTTATATTCATTTTTTAAAAAATCTTAGCAAAGAATTGGTAACAAAAATAACTGTAGTAGACATAGTGGAAATCTATCTCTTTTTTAAACTTGCAGAAGCATATGTGCATAAAAACATAAGTGTTTGTAAAACATATTCAGTGCCTTAACCTGTAGTACATGTAGTCTTTGTATAATATATTATTTTTCCTATTTGAAGTTTTAGCATATTCAGGTGGCACGTTTAAATTCAGCATTTAGGTAGTAACATTCGTATGACTCTTATTTCTGTGCTACTTTTTTATATTTTAATATTTTTTCCTATTGTGTAGGGTAAAGCTGACACTAGAGGGTCTGGAGGAAGATGATGATGATAGGGTATCTCCTACTGTTCTTCACAAAATGTCTAATAGCCTAGAGATATCTTTAATAAGTGACAATGAATTCAAGTGCCGGCATTCCCAGCCAGAGTGTGGGTATGGCTTACAGCCTGATCGTTGGACGGAGTATAGCATACAGACAATGGAACCAGATAACCTGGAACTAATCTTTGATTTTTTTGAGGTGAGTAGTTATTTTCAGTGAGGGGGTTGAATAAGAATGCAGGTGTAAGCTTATTTTTACATATGTTTTGATTTTTTAGTTTACTAATTTGTATAAAGGCATAATCCATACAACTTTTTAGATGTTTGCTCCTCTACATTTTAGCAGAATTATAATATAAAACCTGGAGCCAACAGACTTGAGTACTATTAAGAATATAATAAGAGAACTTCAAGATAGTAGATGTTTTACATCAAGACCAGATATCTTAAACTCTGTATCTATTAAGTAATCTTAATATAAATGAGTTTTATCCAAAGGAGACGCCAAAGTTAAATAGAGGGAAGGAAGGGCTGTGCGACTCTTGGTGGGCAATCTATATAGCTAGCATAGTGAATCCTCTTCATGTGGAAGTCTGTGGTTTATTGAAGTACTTTATTATGAGGATTTACTCCAATAGTGGACTCATTTTGCAACTTTACTTGATCTTATAAATATGTAATATTTATTATAAAAGTTGTGCCAGGGAAAACAGTTTGGTGGTTGCTCAATGGAATATGAATATTACTCAGACATAAAGAGAAGTGAAGTCCTGATACACGGTATAGCATAGATGAACCTTGAAAACATTACGCTGAGTGAAATGTTACAAAGGACATTATTATATGATCCCACTTTCATATTTCATATGAAATAGGCAGATGTTCAGAGATCAGAGTTTATCAGTGGTTACTTGGGGTGGGAGGGAGGGGAAAAGGAGGAGTCACTGCTTAAAACTGTTACTGGTGGTAAAATAATTTGGAAAAGGATAGTGGTGATGGTTGTACAACATGAACGTAATCATGCCTTAAAAAGCTAGAAATAGAAGTACCATACAACCCAGCTATCCCACTCTTTGGAATATATCCTAGAGAGAAATAAGAGCCATCACGCGAACAGATATTTGCACAGTCATGTTCACTGCAGCACTGTTCACAACAGCAAAAAGATGGAAACAACCTAGGCGCCCATCAACAGAAATATGGATAAACAGATTATGGTATATCCACACAATGGAATACCACGCAACGATAAAGAACAACGATGAAGCCGTGAAACATCTTAAAGATGGAGAAATCTGGAGGGCATTATGCTGAGTGAATTTAGTCAGTCACAGAAGGACAAATATTGTATAAGACTACTGTTATAAGAACTCAAGGTTTAAACAGAAGAAAACATTCTTTGATGGTTACGAGACTAGGGAGGGAGGGTGAGGGTTATTGACTAGATAGTAGACAAGTATTAGCTGAAGGGAAGGACAGCACACACTACAGGGGAAGTCAGCACTGGACTAAACCAAAGCTAAGAAGTTTCTTGAATACAGTCAAACACTTTGAGGGACAGAGTAGCAGGGGTAGGGGTCTGGGGACCATGCTTTCAGGAGACATCTAGGTCAATTGTCGTAACAAAGCTTGACAAAATGTTCTGCATCCTACTTTGTTGAGTGGCGTCTGGGGTCTTAAAAGCTTGCAGGCGGCCATCTAAGATGCATCAGTTGGTCCCAACCACCTGGAATAAAGGAGAATGAAGAACGCCAAAGACACAAGGGAAGTAGTAGCCCAAGAGACATAAAGGACCACATAAACCAGAGGCTTCATCAGCCTGAGACCAGAAGAACTAGATGGTGGCCAGCTACCACCAATGATTGCCCTGACAGGGAACACAACGGAGACTCCCTGATGGAGCAGAAGAAAGGTGGGGTGCAGAACTCAAATTCTAATACGAACACCAGGCTTAATGGTCTGACTGAGACTAGAGGAACCCCGGAAAGCATGGCCCCTATCAGCCCAGAACTAAAACAGTTTCTGAGCCCAACTCTTCAGACGGGTTGGACTGGACTGTGGGACATAAAGGGATACCCGTGAGGAGTGTGGCTCTTAGCTCAAGTAGATACGAGAGACTAAATGGGCAGCTTCTGTCCGGAGGTGAGATGGGAAGGCAGAGGGGATTAGGAGCTGGTTGAATGGACATGGGGAATTGGGTGGAAAGGAGGCGTGTGCTGTCACAGTATGGGAATAGCAATTAGAGTCATATAACAATGTATGTGTAAAGTTTTGTATGGGAAAAAATAAACACAAACATAATCATTGTCACTAGATTGTACAAGTGAAAATTATTGAATTGTAAATGCTTTGTTGTAAGTATTTTAACCACAATAAAAAAAATTGTTCCAGTTTGGAATTTGAGCTAACTTTCCAGAGCTACTTGTGATACTTAGTAGAGCTCTTTGGATCACTGTCGGTTCAGATACTCCCCACGGATCATACTTTACACCTCCTCTGAGGTTCTTACTACATGGTGCATGGCACAGCAGTGTTATGTGTACTCGTTTCCTTAACCTCTAGCTCTCCTGCCACTTACACCCCCATTCTGACTTGATTATAGTTTGCTGTAGCACCTAACCACAGTTTCTTGAAAATAGCAGAATTGAGGGCAGACTTTAACCAGTTGGATGAAACTTGTTACGCAGAATTATTAGAAACTTTGAATTGTTTAATTTGATGATGTCTTTAGACATAGCCTTTCTAAGTGTCTTTATGGCTACCCCGCATTGTAAGGAATCGAAAGTATTACCTCAAAGATTCCTTCAAAAAGAAAAAGAAAATTTATTGGCTAAGTAATAAAATCTATGGAACTTTATTGTAAAAATATGAAGTTTTTGTTGAACTTTTTCTTGTTGCTTCCAAACCTACCTTTTAATAATCTCTTGAACAACCTAACTTTTCCCTTTTCATTTGTTAGCATTTTTGGAAATACAGTGTTATTCATAGACTGGACTCATAAACTATCCAGTGTAGTCTCAAAGTAAATATTCAGTTTCCTAGAAAGTTACTATCCCTGTATGCCACCTATGTTGATGTACTTTTAGAGAATATGATAAACATTAAAAATTCACTATAGAATGTCTTCATCTTTAGACGGACTATAGAACCTTCCTGTCAGTGCTTTAAACTCATCTAATGCATGTTAGAGGACGAGAAATGTAAATTCAGTAGAGTTATGATTAATAAAGTAAAATACAAAAATCTTAAAATATTAATGGATCTTACTGTTAAGAAGTCATCTAAGTTACCTGAGTATAAATTTGATTATATTCCTCATCACTCATATACCCGTTGCTGTCGAGTCGATTCCAACTCATAGCGACCCTATAGGACAGAGTAGAACTGCCCCACAGGGTTTCCAAAGAGCAGCTGGTGGATTCTAACCACTGACCTTTTGGTTAGCAGCCTTAGCTCTTAACCTTAAATATCCATAGATTCTGAGTTGACTTTAAGGGAGTTTTTTTTTAATCAAATTATAGCACAGAAATTCAGTTTATTCTAAACCTTATTTTTCCAGGAAGATCTCAGTGAACCTGTAGTTCAGGGTGATGCCCTTCCTGGACACGTGGGTACAGCATGTCTCTTATCATCTACCATTGCTGAGAGTGGGAAGAGTGCTGGAATCCTTACTCTTCCCATCATGAGCAGAAATTCCAGAAAAACAATAGGCAAAGTGAGAGGTGAGTTTGGAGAATCTGGGTAGTAGTTATGTGGCCCTTTTAGGGCTAGGTTGGAATTTTAGTTAGTTTCAAATTGGTTGTACAAGAGAAGTAAAGATTAAATTATTTGTTCCAGAATATTAAGTAATATAATAATTTTAAGGAGCATATTGTTCTAGAAGCTTTACTTTGAATCAGTTTTCAACTCGTTGATTTTTTTAGATGTTTTTAAAGTAGGATTAAATTGTATTTAAATATAATCGAGCTGTCGATGGCCTTTAAAGAAAATTTTTTATCTTTTTCTCTCCCACCGCCCCTTTTTTTTTCTATGAAAGTTGACTATATAATTATTAAGCCATTACCAGGATACAGTTGTGACATGAAATCTTCATTTTCCAAGTATTGGAAGCCAAGAACACCATTGGATGTTGGACATCGAGGTGCAGGGAACTCTACAACAACTGCCCAGTAGGTTGACTGTTTGAGTAGGGTTAGTGTTTGGTAGCTTATATGTTCGATAAGGTTGTGTTGGTTTGTCCACTGCTGGTCAAATGATACTTTTATCTTTAGAGTTATGAATTATACAACTATATGCCCTTGGAATTAAGTGTAATTTGGTAGTTGGGGTTTAAAGACCAACTCTCTCCTAAGATTCTGGTCAATCTTTTTAATATTCTACTGAATTGATGAACGGGGGGACAGTAAGAGTCCTGTCTGGGTGTCATCAGTGTGTAAACTCAGGGAATGGTATTAATTCAACCTGGACCTCAACAGAAGGACAGAAAGCTCTGTCTCTCTTACCAGAAGCTGAGTTCATTGTGGTAGAGTTGTTATTCCTACCCAGCTTTGTCAGTTATTTAATTACCAGCACTGTAGCTCACTTCCACAACTTTTCTACTTTAACTTTTAATCCCTTCCCACTCTTATTTTTATAGTGATACCGTTATAGCAGTGGGATCTATGGAGATCATTAAGACTTTTCATGGTCTATAAAACAAATCAAATCACCATTAAGGAGGAAGTACTGTAGCGCTCCATCTTATCAAGCAATAAGGCTTCTTTTTATCTCTATTCTTTTTCTCCCCCACCCCCCCAATTTTATTTATTTTGTTGTTGTTGAGAATTTACACAGCAAAGTTATCTCTTTTCTTAAAATAGTTTCCGTACAGTTACCCTGTTGGTGCATCCATCTTTTCCTATCCTCCCACCAGACTCTGCCAGTATTAAGTCATCTGGAGACCTCATTACAAGGAGCAGATTTCTATGTCTCTACTCCTTCCTGCCATTGAAGGGGATTATGTTCCTGAACTGGTCCATGCACCACACTTCACTTTTCTCCAAGAAACAAAAAGTCATAGATTACTATTACAAGGAAGACAGGTGCTCTCTGTTGTGGTATTGGGTGTGTCTATATTCAGCCTGTAAATATCTACAGCTGTATTAATATAATAAATACCCATATCAACCAAGTGATGGTTACAGTCTTATTTGGGGGCTGGCAAAATTAACTTCACAATAGAGGACAAGTACTGTTTCCATTTTTGAAAATATAGTTGGCTTCCTCATTAAATTTGTTTCTTCATCTTTTCTATAGTGTATAAGAAGTATTTCTTTTCTATTTCAGGCTTGCTAAAGTTCAAGAAAATACTATTGCTTCTTTAAGAAATGCTGCTAGTCATGTAAGTGAACCTCTTTTTTTTTTTTAAATAACTTTGGGCTGTTGAGGGAGAGAAATGTGGGCCTGGGGGGAGTACCCTACACTCTCAATTAATAGGTTAAAAAGGGGAATATTTATTTATTTATTATTGTACTTTAGATGAAGGTTTACAGAGCAAACTGGTTTCTCATTAAACAATTAATACACATATTGTTTTGTAACATTGGTTGCCGACCCTATGACACGTCAGCATTCTCCCCTTCTTAACCTTGGGTTCTCCATTACCAGCTTTCCTGTCCTTGCCTGCCTTCTCGTCCTTGCCCCTGGGCTCGTGTGCCCATTTAGTCTCATTTTGTTTTATGGGCCAGTCTAATTTTTGGCTGAAGGGTGAACTTCAGGAGTGACTTCATTACTAAGCTAAACGGGTGTTCAGGGTCCATACTCTCGGGGTTTCTCCAGTCTGTCAGAACAGTAAGTCTGCTCTTTTTTTTGGTGAGTTAGTATTTTGTTTTACATTTTCCTCTGGCTCTGTCCAAGACCCTCTGTAGTGATCCCTGTCAGAGCAATTGCTTGTGATAGCTGGGCACCATCTAGTTGTGCTGGACTCAGTCTGGTAGAGGCTGTGGTAGTTGTGGTCCACTAGTTCTTTGGACTAATCTTTCCCTTGTGTCTTTACTTTTCTTAATTCTCCCTTGCTCCCTACAGAGTGAAACCAGTGGAGTATCTTAGATGGCTGCTGACAAGCTTTTAAGACCTCAGATACTACTCACCAAAGTAGAATGTAGAGCATTTTCTTTATAAACTACATTATGCTAGTTAAGCTAGATGTTCCCTGAGATCATGATCTAAAAAATGGGAAAATTTATGCTGCTGCTGCTGAACATGTTTCTAAGTAAAGATAAAGTATCTCTTCTTGGTTAAGATTGCAATGAGAGCAATAGAATCCTAAGCATCCTACTTTTGAGATAACGAATTTTGAGTGATCGGGGAAGAAAAAAGTTTCCCATTAAGCACTGGTTTTCATTAATGGAGTAATGTGCTTAATCAGATGTTCACTTTGGAAATAATGCTTATAGAAATATTTGATAATTTTCTGTAACACTTTAAATAAGTATATTGGTTCCCACCCTGCATATCAACTTAATTATGTTAAATTTCTTAACTCCTTTCTTTTACCTAATCGGGAAGGAATCTATGTTTAGTTTTTAAGTTTTTTCAGCAACTGCAACTGGGCATTTTTAATCAAGAACTTTCATTCCCCCACCTCCACCCCCACCCCCCCGTTCCTCTGTGCCTAACTGGAAAGCCTGGTAAAAAAAAAAAAAAAAAGTTAAATTAGGAAAAAAATGGAGGAAGATCTCATTCTTTTATTTCCTTTTTCCGCTGCATCTTCCACATGCGTTAAAGTTTGCCTTTTAAAAAATGGTTCATCAAGTAAACTTGATTAGTCAGGTGTTTATCAGTTTTATGAGCAAACATCATCCATCCATCCAAAAGATGTACTTTTTTCATAGTTTCACATCTCTGAAATTGAAGTGGGTTTTACAACTTTCTTAGCATTGCAGCACAATTTAATTGACAACATTTTCACTCTCTTGGCGTTATAGAAAACTGGTGCGTTTTATAATTCATGACATCTTAGATTGATTATAGTAATTGTTTATTTTAATGTTTTAAAATATTAATAGTGGATCATTTGATTTTTTGTATTGAAAGGATGATATTAATCTACTAGTATGCTGGGCTGTAGTTCATAATTTGGAAGCAGTTTTATTTCATTGTAACTAACCTAAAAATAATTTTATTAGCTATAAGCATGTGATGTCCCTGTTAATCAGATTTTCAGAGTCTCCATGCTTTTTGAGAGAAGATTTCATTAAAGTCTTCTTCCTCCACATCCTGATGAAATCCTTCATAACTCATATGGACCACTTTATAGGATATCAATTATTACTGGCTTTTTTTAAATGTTAAAAACATTTGAAGAGGTTTTATTCTGTTACTGGCTTATTTCTTAAAGCTTACACGTGAATATTGGAATTAAGATTTATCTTTTAGTAAAATTATCTTCTAAAAGGATGATTATGTAAACTAAATATTTTAACTAGAAAGCTGTCACTCAAAATGTTTAGGAGTTATAATTATTTAGGGGCTGTAGAGTTTTTTCTTTTTGACAGGAATGGTTGGTGATACAGTCTTGTTTAAAATAATATAAGGAGCTAAGTTTCCTGCTTAGAAAGTCATCAAGGAAATAGGCTTTATAACTAGACCCTTGAGCTCCTTTGGTTTTAGCCTGTTACTTATGTATACTCACAAGTTGAGAAACCTTCCATGACCAGGTCATAGAAGCCAGAGTAAGGTGTGGAAATGCATCCATTCTTGTACAGCACTTTTATGGGTCTCACTCCATAACATCGCAGAATTCCCAGACATTTACTTGATTTTCAGCTGGTTTTCTTTTGGGAAATGCACAAATTTGTATGTCAGTTTCTGTTCTCGTCTTTTATTTGGATTACTTCTCTTTTCTGGATCAGACTCTTAAAAATATACCTTTAACGTAATTCATGTGCTTTTCTTCTGTTCAGGCTTACATCAGGAAATTGGGCATTCATATTGCCCGTTTCTGTTTTCTCTGTCTCTTCACCAACGGTTGCCATTTCCTCTTTAATCTGATACTGAGGTTTTGCTAAGAAAGGCTACAGAGTGTGTTGCTCCAGTGCGTAGAGAGCATAACTAAGAGGCTCTGCATCTTCTTCTTTTCCCCATCTCATCTTTGAGAGTCAGCTGCCTGACTGGGGGGTGCAGGGGTGACAAGGTGAGGTAGCCCTGTGCCCCCGGCTCCTGTTAGGCTCCAGTTCTTCTAACAGCTGTAGCAGTTGTGACACCTGTGAAGGCTGCATCATTGCCACTGAGATGCCCTAGGTGTTTCAGGTGGATCAGTGCCCCTTATTTGGCCAAGAAAAAATAATTGCTCTGATAGTGGGGGAAAAAAGGTAAAACAGTTATAATTGTTTTAAGAGAAGAAATTGCTTTTTAGAGAAAGCTTGAAGTCTAGCATTAAATATTTCATGAGAAGTTTTATGTTATAGTAAGTAGTAAATTTGTAGTGAGTAATAAATTTCTTATTTCCTTGTAGTTTTAGATGTATTGTGGACCAAGTAATGTTTTTTTCATACTTAACTTCCTTTATTTCCTTCAGGGTGCAGCCTTTGTAGAATTTGATGTACATCTTTCAAAGGATTTTGTGCCTGTGGTCTATCATGATCTCACCTGTTGTTTGACTATGAAAAAAGTACGTTGAAATTCCTTCATTTTAAACTCTTATTATTAGGTATGAAGATTAAAAACTAGGAACTTTGTTGTATTTTAATTGTTAGAATCTGTCTCTATATAAGTAATTCAGTTGGTGAATTACTGCCGATCCTTTCTTCTCTCAAGCTCCTATGACATCAAAAGAGTTGAGGAGATGGGAATATTTATTTCCTAGAGTAGGGTCTCTGTTTTCCTGAATTTGCTTCTCTATATTATCTAACAAAGTGACGTTCCAGATAGTTTCTGTATCAGTCAGCCACTGTCACTACATTGAGGCAGGAGGGGAGGATATCATAGTATTAGTTTATTTTTTAGTTGCCAATCTATTTCTGCTTCAGCCCTTTCCTCAGATTAATAGGCCAGTATGATTTGACTAAAGCAGGAAGAGCTACAGGAAAAAATAAAACTGGAAAGGTGGTTTGGATCCACATAGTGGGTGGGGGGGACTCAATGAAAGGTAAGGGATTTAGACTTAGGAGCTAGGGAGATGTGGAAGACAGAGAAGGATAATGTTCGGAACTAAACTTGAAGACAATTATTTTGGTAGTTGGTATAATATGAATTTGAGAAGGCAGAGACTAGTTTTTTTACACGAGTGTGTGAAATAAAAAGTGTACAGCATGACAGGCTCTGACTTCTAGCTTTGTTGTGTCTTCAGTGCCACAGCTTCCTCCCAGCTGTTTTTTTCTGCCAGGCCCTCTCCACCTACATTAAAAATAAAAACCAGAATGTAAGAGCTGGGTGCTGGTGTTAGGTAAGAAGGGCTTCCTGCATGGGCTCACTACGGCCACGTAACAGTTGTTCTCATCATTCAGTACATTGAGATGTTAGGCCTGACATCTAAAATAATTTGGGGATCTGTTTTTCTCTTTATTTTTCTTTTCAGAAATTTGACACTGATCCAGTTGAATTATTTGAAATTCCAGTAAAGGAATTAACATTTGACCAACTCCAGTTGTTAAAGGTAAAATAGTAGCATGAAATGTGAATTATCCTTCATCTTTAAACTATTTATACTTGCCTTTATAGGGCACATCCCTAGAGTGTGTGCTTTGGTCTTTTGTTCCATTAGGGAGAATAGGTTTGTGCTGATCCATCTGCCTCCTCTAACAGTTTTCCTAGACCCCCTTGGTTTTTGCATTCGTGAAGGGGTTAGGCCATAAGTATTTGTAGGTCATAGGAGTTAGTCCTTCTCATCGTCTTAGGTTGGCCTCTGGTCTGCTTTAGCCCTTCTCTATACAGCTCACTATTTTGCAATAATGTTGGCCTTTTATGTGATAGTTGGTTTTTATTAATTTCTAAGGTATTTGTATATTGTGTTATACCATGTAATTTTGCATGGTCCCTCTTTCCAGCCGCATTAGATACCTAAATAAATGGTAGATTAAGTATAAACAGCCTCCTAGTTCATGAATTTTTAGATACTGCATCCCTACTTGGGTATTTCATTATGATCTATGTGTATGTATATGCATATAAAATATATACACAGTAGTTAGTGGTTTTTTTTAATAATTTATTTTTGTGGTTGAGAATATACACAGTAGAACATACTATATTTTACACAAATAGCACTCACCTTCTGTGTTTGCCAGCTGCACCCTCCCCCTCCCCCTCCCCCAGGTATTTTTGTAAGGGTGCTATGTTAATTTCTTTTTACAGCAACATGTGGAAGAGGACTGGCATGGCAGTATTTGTGAGGGTGCCTCATGGGGGGAGGGTGTGGCCAGCAAACAAATGTAGAAGGTGCACATTATTTGTATAAAAGTACGGTTCTACACATATAATTCAGTGGTATTGATTACATTCCTTAAGTTGTACAAGTGTTCTCACCCTCCTTTTCTGAGTTGTTCCTCCTCCATTAACATAAACTCAAACTGCCTCCTAAGTTCTCTATCTAGTCTTTCAAATTGCTGTTGTCAGTTTTGATCCCATATAGGTAGTTCTTAAAAGAGCACAGTGCTCAAGGCAGACATTCTTTGGTAGTTAAGCTAAACTATTGTTTGGTTTTAAGAAGACTTCAGAGAATATTTTTGGTTTAAAGTTTAAAGATTATCTCAGGGCAATAGTTTTGTGGATTCATCCAGCCTCCATGGCAGTACTTATTAAACTGATACTTTGATGTTTTGTAGTCTTTTCTAACTTGCTAGCTTTTCAAGTTACAGTTTTATTAACCATATCTTCATAAATTATGGCTTTTTTTTTTCTTTGTATATTTTCTAGCTTGCTCATGTGACTGCACTAAAATCTAAAGATCGGAAAGGTATGTACCAGTATGGAAACACTTTTCATTTTATAGTTAACGTTAATGTGGTATTTCCTTATCTATTTAGTGAGTTTGGTATCGGGATAGCCAAACGTAATTTTATAGACATGAAAACCTTACATATATTCATTTCCAAATGAGTATCTTTCATCACCAACCTAGTAAAATTTGTGGGCTTTAGTTCTTTGCTTATGCAAAAATAGACACATAGAAGCCAGGTAACCACACTCGTAATATATACATGAACGCACGTAGAATATTGTCATTTGTATAGTAGTCATTCATGATTGTTTATTTTTATGATTTTCTTACCTTGATGATCAAAATTCTTTATAATTTTGTACCATTTAGTCTTTCCAGACGTCTATAACCATTATAACATGGAAAGTATATCAAATATAGAATCTTATTCCAGAGACAGACTACCTGGAGTTTCAATCCAGCTCTATCATTTACCAGCTGTGACCTGGGAAAGGTTACTTTTACTTAACCACTCTGTGCCTCACTTTCCTCAAAGCTTGCCCAGCCTGCCTACCACATCCTTTTGTGATTTTACTTTACTCTGTACTCCTATAGAACTTAACAGTCAGTACCATTTATTTGAGGCTTACCGTATACTTTTTTTTTTTTGGTGTATGTCATGTCTCTTCAACTAAAATATCAGCTTCTCAAGGATAGGGAAAATATTTTTTATGTTCTCAGAGATTCTTGCAATGCTCTGCGTATAGTAGGTATTCAACAGATATTTGTGTGCACTTTTGATAACTGTACAGTTTGAATGCCTTTATGAAGACGTGTGAAGCGCTAAACACTTGGAAGATGTATCCCCAAGTGCATAAACGTGACATAGTTTAACAAGTGACTTTATAGGGTTATAGATATTTTGTGACTAGTAATAATAATCATCAGTGTTTAAATACATTTTACCTTTAGTTTATTCAGCTGGAAAATTTTATTCTTTTGGAGAGAAATTCTTCTTAAAAATATAATCTATCTTGAATTTTTTTTTTTTTATTGTGCTTTAAGTGAAAGTTTATAATTCAAGTTAGTCTCTCATACAAAAGTTTATACAGACATTGTTATGTGACCCTAGTTGCTCTCCCTATACTGTGACAGCTCACTCCTCCTTTCCACCCTGGATTTCCCATGTCCATTCAACCAGCTGCTGACCCTCTCTGCCTTCTCATCTTGCCTCCAGACAGTAGCTACCCATTTAGTCTCATGTATCTACTTGAGCTAAGAAGCACACACTTCACAAGTATCATTTAATGTCCTATAGTCCAGTCTGTTCTTTATCGGAAGAGTTGGTCTCGGGAATGGTTTTAGTTTTGGGCTAACAGAGAGTCTGGGGGCCGTGTCTCAGTCAAACCATTAAGTCTGGTCTTTTCACTAGAATTTGAGTTCTGTACTCCACTTTTCTCCTGCTCCATCAGGGACTCTCTGTTGTGTTCCCTGTTAGGGCGGTCATTGGTGGTAACCGGGCACCATCTAGTTCTTCTGGTCTGAGGCTGATGCAGTGTCTGGTTTATGTGGCCCTTTCTGTTTCTTGGGCTAATGTTTTCCTTGCGTCTTTGGTATTCTTCATTCTCCTTTGCTCCAGGTAGGTTGGGACCAATGATCCATCTTAGATGGCAGCTCACTAGCTTTTAAGACCCCAGACGCCACTCACCAAAGTAGGATGCAGAACATTTTCTCAATCAGCTTTGTTAAGCCAGTTGACCTAGATGTCCCCTGAAAACATGGTACTCAGACCCCTACCCCTGCTACTCTGCCGCTCAAAGTGTTTGACTGTATTCAGGAAACTTCTTAGCTTTTGGTTTAGTCCAGTTGTGCTGACTTCCCCTGTAGTGTGTGTTGTCCTTCGCTTCACCTAACATAATTCTTGTCTACTATCTAGTTAGTGAATACCCCTCACACTCCCTCCTCATCCACTTAACCATCAAAGAATGTTTTCTTCTGTGTTTAAACCTTTTCTTCATTTCTTATAGCAATGGTCTTATACAATGTTTCTCCTTTTGTGACTGACTAAATTCACTCAGCATAATGCCTTCCATATCTTGAATTTAATGGCAATGGTAACACAAGCACAGTAGTAGCTAGAGTCTCTTAATTTCTTAATTTCTGAGCTGATTTTAATATTTCAAATAGAAATCTTAGCAGTATGACTCAGCTCTCAGTTACCACTGAGATATAACAATCACCGTGACTCCTTTTAAAAGAGTATTATTAGAAATTTTTATGAGAAAATAATCACTGTTGGGGCCACAAATTATGGTGTTTATGTCAAATGTTGTAGTTTCATAAAAGATGCCTGTATAGAAAATGGGTTTTGAATGGTTAAAAATAATAAACACAGGAGACTTCAAGAGTTCCATACATGAGAGGATTTCATAATTACTTTTAGCTTTTTTTTTTTTTGCCATAAGAATTTAGGAAAGATGTTAGTGATATAATGCTATTATTTATTTACTGAGTTTTTATTATTTAAAATTTTAGAATCTGTGATTGAGGAAGAAAATTCCTTTTCTGAAAATCAGCCATTTCCTTCTCTTAGGATGGTAAGTTTCTTGCCAAAAATTAAGACAAGCCTATCCCATTACTTCTGTTATGTCTAAATGATTTATTTCTGGTCTCTTAGGTGGGCACTGAAATGACTGTGTCAAAGAAAACATGAATATAAATTTATCATTGTTGGTGCTTTTTAGAGAAGATACATTCTTGTATGATATATGTGCTACTTTTTTTTAAAAGAGTAACTTCATCAGCTCAAATGAATAAAAGTTACCATCTCAACAGGTTAATTTGGCAAGAATAGTAATTTCACGTATTTCTCTGTATAGACTGGAAGGAAGAGGGCACAGGAAAGGGGATAGGATGGAGATGTGATGGTGGGTCAGGCATTTTTAACAATGTTCAAAACTATTCCTTAGCTTTTGGAGAGAAACAAGACAGTCAAAAAGGCAATCAAAGAAAATAAGTACCCTGGTTAGTCAGAATCGAGACACAAATTTCAAGAATTTACTTTCAAAAAGTGTAAGCAAAAACCAGCATAAAGTTATAACAACTAGACGTGGTTCATACAGAGATCCCTTTGACAGTATCAGGAAAACCTGCATGGACGCAGACACTTTCCTAGACTGTGCTGGGTTTGCTTTTGTTCCTGCTAGCTCCATTTCCTAATTACTAGTCGCCATCAGTGTCTTCCTGGTAATGTCAGGTTCAGTAGATTTCGTAGGCAGAAATAGGTAATTCCAGTTTAGCATGATATGGAAATGTATGTTTTGGGAATAGGGGTTATTAACTTAATGGGTTTTGTCTAGTATATTATCTGATTCCTAAAGTTTATGTTTGTGTGTGTGTATTTAGAAAGGAAAGAAGTGGCAGTAAACAATCTATAATGAAGGTATTTTGTTAAAATACTTAGATATGTAATATCTGAGAAGTTCATAAAACAATCGAAATCTTTAAAAGCTGAAGTTTTTAAAGGTAAATTAAGGATTAATTATTCACTCTGCAGAAATGATGCTATGCTGTAAGAGAGCCCCTAAAATGGATCACTGCCCTAGTGGATTTAAAATATGATTTATATAATTATCCAGGTATATATGAGGCCTGACTAAGATCATTCCTTCCAGTTCAAAATCTGAAAATAATTTTGTTCTTAGAAATCTCAAGATTCCCAGAATTTGATTTCATAGAACAGAAACTTGTTTTTTAAATTGTGTTTGTAAAAGGTTTCACAACTTTTATTTAGCCAAATCAGTTAAACACACAACCACTTTGACTTGTTCACTCACTTTACCTTCATCATCATCTAATCACAGAGAAATTTGAACACCAAAAAAAGTAGGCTAAATACAATTTCAGTATAAAGGACAGTCCTTTTCCAAATTCAGCATTTAACAATATTAACACTGATACACGTGTTTATTTTTCTTACTTTGTGTTACATTATAGCCACATGTAAGAACGGCGTGGGGGCGGTGTCTGGCCTCCTCTAACTTCACAAGGGGGAGGGAGACTCAAGATCAGTAGACCAAGGCTGCTTCCTGTGAGGCAGCAGTCAGACATACCCTCTTCTCTCCACCATCTTTACCAATTCTGATACCAACTATCCTTCCCACAACACTCTCTGCTTCTCTGCTGGGTTCGATAATCCATTGCAGTGACCACACGGAACTCACCATACTCAGGATTATGGGGTTTATTAGGGAAGTAACAGGTTACAGTTCAGGCTCAGGAACATTCAAGGGTACAGTTCTTTCATCAGGACAGCCTCTTCCCAGCTGTGCTTGCAGGCACGCTTCTCGCTAGCCCTCAGTCTCTACCCAGAGGCACTCAGCTTTCTCTCTCCATGGGTGGGAAGCCCATGTCTCTGCTGCTCGGTCTTTGCTGCTCATTCTTGAGCTTTCTCTCTCTCTCCTGGGTCCAGGAACTTCTCACCGCAGGAATCCTGGGTCCAAAGGACGTATTGGCTCCTGGCTGTTCTTCTTTGGTGGTGGAGGGTTCCTCTTCTTCCCGCCTCAGGTGGCTCATTTCAAGCCCAGAAGGGTGGCAAAACTGGCCAGTCCCTCTGGTGGGCTACAATTAGCATATCTGCGCAGTCCCTCCTGATCTCTTGGTGGAAGTTAAAAGACTGTTAGAAAGGCCACACAAAAGCGATCTATGGCACCACAGTAAATAAATTAGGCTAAAGACATAGGGGAAGGATGTCAAAAGCAGGAAGTCAAAAGCCCTATACGAAATTGAGTATAAACTGTTTTCAAGAAACTACTTTTCAGTCAGCTGGTTAGTATAAGATGCAGGACTAGATCCCAAATCACCAGACTCCCGGCTTTGTCGTTGTATGCCATTCAGTCGATTTACGACTCCTAGCAGCCTTGTAGGACAGAGTAAGGAGCTCTAGTGGCACAATGGTTAAGCGCTTGGCTGCTAACCGAAAGGTCAGCGGTTCAAACCCATCAGCTGCTCTGCAAGAAAGATGTGATCTGTTTCTGTAAAGATGACAGCCTAGGAAATCGTATGGGGCAGTTCTGCTGTATCACATGGGGTCGCTATGAGTCGGAATTAATTCGATGACACACAGCAACAACAGGACAAAGTAGAACTGCCCCATAGGGTTTTCTAGGCTGTAATCTTTACGGGAGCCCATCACCAGGTCTTTTCTTCCATGGAGTCTCTGGGTGGGTTTGAACTACCAACCTACCACTATATTATTCTATTAGTATGCTCTGATTTTTTTTTATAATTTAGTATAAATTTTAGTACCATACGTATTATACATGTTAAATGATTTTTAAAATTTTAAAATAAATTGAAGTAAAAACATAATCTGTACTAAATTCATTTTGGCCTGAACATGTTTTTGTATTTGCCTGGCCTTTGTGTTTAAGATTAAACAAGTCAGCTCTTAGTAGATTTGTAACTAAGTTTCGTATTTTCAATCTGATTTTCTAGTTATGACTGCCAAAATAGTCTTGATTGCAAACTGTCTGAATAATTTAATTTAGATAAATTGATCGCCTATTATTCGTTATATAGATATAGTCTTACTTATGAGCCACAGCATAATCTTTCAGTTGGAGATTACCAGCATGGTATTTGTTAAGCGTTATATAACCGTATCTTAATAGAGTAATGTACTTGAATGCAATTCAGAAAACATGAGAAATGTCTCTTGAATTCATGAGATTACCTGTCTTATTACAGTTCACTTTGGATGTTCAATATTAATGTGAAAAGGATTTTAGGTTAGCGGATCTGTCTCTGTGATGCTGGTGATCAGTTATCACAGACGTTGCCTGCTTTTACTATTTAATTCCTTTTGACTTTCTTATTTAACGTAATAATCATCAGCCAAGTCAGTTTGATTATGAGAAAGAATAGTGGTTTATGCTTGAGACACAAAACATTTTATCTTGTCTAAGGATATGTTTTCTTATTGATTGCCTTTTGTAGTAATTCTGTTTTCCTTTTTTTCTTAATCCACAACTCATCTCACCAAAAACAAAACAAAACTCACCACCAATAAATAAAATCTAGGTTTTAGAGTCTTTGCCAGAAGATGTAGGGTTTAACATAGAAATAAAATGGATCTGCCAGCAAAGGGTAAGTTATTCTCTAGGTAATACATTCTTTCCCCCTTGCCCCATTGTTTGTTTTTTTAATTTTTTTTTCTTATTTCTTTCTGTTGTTAATGAAGTAAGTGAAACTAAAACAGCATTGTGGCTTCCTGCATCCACCACAGTGTTTTTTAGACCTTTTTATAAAGCATATAACTAATATGTGAGTACTTTCTTAAAATTACTGATTAGTGTATTATTGCAGAAATTTTAGTTTACAAGTGTCTTATATGCCCATTAGTATCATGGATGGTTTCTGGACATATTTACAAAGTATGATTTATATCTAATCAAACCCTATCTTTTTAAGTAATTGCCTAAGCAGTTTCTGTTGGGGGCAGCAGCTAGTAATAGTAACCCAGGAAAAGAAATTTCTGTTGATGTATGTAAAAAAAAGTCAATCCCAGCCTTATTCATTTGCTCAAAAAATATTTATTGAAAAGCTGCTACGAGTAGGCACTTTCCTTGGTGCTTGGGACAAGTAGTGAACAAAACCAAATAAGGCCCTGCCTTCCTGGAACGTACATTCTAGTGTTTGGGTGGATGAGTGGAAGAAAACAGCAATTAAATAACTATGGAATATGTCAGATGGTGGTAAGTGTAAATGAATAGGTGGGTGGGCAGTTCGATGTAGTTAATTCAGGTGTCATGATTGGGTAATTGGAGCCATATACTGGAATTTGTTTTGGTCAGCATATGTTTGTGAAAAGCTGGTCCAGATTAATGTAGTAAGTGTTCAGCGAAGGTTTTTGTCAGAGGTGATTTTTTTAGTTTTCTAAGCTTCTAGAGTTATTTTAATGGCTAATCTTTAAAATCTTTAATATTTGGATATCAACAGGGCTCTTAATTGATATCTTAGCTGTATTTATTGAATTATTTCAAATATTTGTTGAGTGTATTTTGTATGCCTGAGACCAAAAAAATAAGATTTTTAGCTAGTAGTCCACTGGATGGGTTTGAATCGCCAACCTTTCAGTTAGTAGTGAGCGCTTAACCATTGCGCCACCAGAGCCCCTCATAATTAGTAGGGTTTTGCTATAATGAGTTAGTGAGATGAAGTAGAGTCCTTTTGTCCTGTAGTTTATGAAAATTATATCAAAATACCTTAAAGTCACAGTGGACTACAAATTTCCAGAGTTTCAGCTTCTGTTTTGGGAACCTTCTTAGTAAAGTCTCTTAGTGGTATAGTTAATTGCTTTGTATAGGAGAGTCTCTCTGTCTCAATTGCGATTGCTGCGCTATCACTGACTGGCTGTGTGGTGTTGGGTAGGTCAGTTAATCTCTTCAGGTCTTTGGTTTCCTGTGTGTAAAATAAAAGGTTGGACTAGATGTAGTCAAGATTTTTTTCTAGCACTGTGATTTTAGAGTGTGTAATGGTTTTCATTTTTCTATTTATTTCTTTTACATAGGACGGAGTGTGGGATGGCAACTTATCAGCATATTTTGACATGAACCTATTTTTGGATATAATTTTAAAAACTGTTTTAGAAAATTCTGGGAAGAGGAGAATAGTGTTTTCTTCATTTGATGCAGATATTTGTACAATGTGAGTAATATGTACAGTTTTTTCTTCTATACCCTTACAATATAGCCAGGACTTGATTTGCCTTTTCAGTCTGGTTGTATATTTTTTTCATATCTTTTTATCACTGCTTGCTGGAAAGCTCTCCACGTCTGTGAACTCTGTACCCACTAGGTCCTAGAACATGATACCCTGTGTTTTGTTTTACAGGGATGTAAAATCTCCTTACCGATTGTAAGCCCTCAAGGGCTTTCTTCTTGCCCACTTCTGAGACTGTCTTAGCTTTTGTATCAAATAATTTTAAAGGTTTGTTTTGGTTTTGAATGAAGAGCATGTTAATGGTGGTTATATTTGAGTACCGTATTTTTACACAAATAACGTGCACTTTCTACATTTGTTTGCCAATCGTGCCCTCCCCCCACCCGGAGGTATTTTCGTAAGTATGCTATGCTAATTTTTTTTACAGTAATGTTAAAAAAATTGGCATAATACCTCATGGGGGGAGGGCACAGTTGGCAAACAAATGTGGAATGTCCATGTTCTTTGTTTAAAAATATGGTAATAGGATTATGTTTTTTTGTTTAGTTGGTTGTTTTCTTTATATTTTTCATTATTTTCTAAAATTTCAAAACAGAATATATTGCATTTATCCCCCCAGTGAAAGCTTTTTTTTTTTTTAAATTGACTTTTTTAGGGTTCGGCAAAAACAGAACAAATATCCCATATTATTTTTGACTCAAGGAAAGTCTGATATTTACCCTGAACTCATGGACCTCAGATCTCGGACAACGCCCATTGCAATGAGCTTTGCACAGTTTGAAAATCTACTGGTAAATTATGTTTAGATTTTTCTTTTTTATGTTTTAGAGCAGTAATAAATAAGGTTTCATATTACTTTATACGTCTTATTGCTAAAGTGTGTAACAAGCAGGTAGCTGTACTGAAAAACGAAGATACGAGGTCTCAGAATGAAAAGCAGTTAAATGAACAGAAAAAAGTGAAAAATTTCTTTTAGACTTAAGGTAAGTTTTGTGAGTGGATTTTATGAATCATCTAAAATGGTTAGACTATAAACTTGTTGATAGAGCATTCCATCAGTAAAATTTTTTTGAGCACACACTTCTAATACTTGTATGTTTATAAATTGCTTATATATATTAAATACATATATTACTAATATTACTAATAAGAATACATGTTACATATGTGTGTGTATATATATGAAATATACACTAAAAAAGAATTTTTAAATGATGAGATAAATAGTAAAAAATTCTAACATTTTCTTTTCCTGCCCACTCCAATTTGGAGAACACTGATCTAGAGTATGACCATTTAGCATTTGCTGTTCATAAGTTCCTTTTTCATGCATAAGTAATTTTTCTTGTTTTAGGGGATAAATGCACATACTGAAGACCTGCTCAGAAACCCGTCCTATATTCAAGAGGCAAAAGCTAAGGGACTAGTCATATTCTGCTGGGGTGACGACACCAATGATCCCGAAAACAGAAGGAAATTGAAGGAATTTGGAGTTAATGGTCTAATTTATGATAGGTATTTGTTTTTCATGAAAAATTTCCATGGAATGATAGGGACCAAGTAGTTTTCATCTTATAAAATTATAAATAAACTTAGTTAAATTAAAATTCTGTAGTTCACCCTGAGGTTTATGTTGACATTTGTTTGTCAGTGGGGTTTTTCAAACTTTGGAGAGTACCCGAATCACTTGGGAAGGTTAGTAAAAATTCAGATGACTAGCCCCTAACCCAGATGTACTAAGTCATCTTGGGGGGGTGTAGGGGTAGTTCTCTGTCCCCAGACTATTTCTCTGTCTACTGACTTTCTTGGTGATCTCACCCAAATCTGGGGCAGAATTTCCATATATATGTGTCTTTAATCAAACCTTCCCTCTGACTTCCAAACTTTTAGTCCAGCTACTAACATCTGTTCCTGTAGTCTTCCTGATTTCAGTTTAAATGACAGTTCCATCTTTCCATTTTTTCAGGCCAAAGTCAGGTCATGTTACTGCTCAAAACTCTCTCATGGTTTTCTGTGTCACTTGGAGTTCTTTCAAGGCCTTGTATGAGCTGATCCCTGTTTTCCACTCCCACCCTCTTGCACACACACCACCTCCCAACTCTCTCTCTCTCTCTGACCTGTCCTCCAGTGGCCTTCCCCCAGGTACCCCCACACTGACCTCCTTGCTGTTTCTCTTTTCTTTAGAGAAAGACTTCAGTAAAGGCTGCAATGTCCCCTTCTCAGTGTAGCCTTTTCTGCATACCCCATTTCAAATAACAACCTCTACTTACAGTGTGCACTTCCCTTATTTTTTCTCCGTGGCATTTAGCACCATCTGACATACTGTGTATGCATATTGTATTTTTTCTCCTTTGTTTTTTTCCCTCGCCCCTTTTCCCAAACACACACCACACACGCAGACGAGAGCATAAGCTACATGAGGGCAAGGATTTCGGCCTGTTCTCTGCTGCATCTCTGGAGTGTAGAACAATGTATGTTATCCAGAAGGAGCTCAAATACTTGTTGAATTAAGTAGTTTTTTTCTTAAATAAGCTCCTCATATGATTTATAATGTAAATTTGAAAGCTGCTGATCTGCAGGACAAAAGGATTGCTTTGTGTAAAGGAGTTTTGGGGTTACAAGAGATACTGTTTACTACAGGATTAAAGGGTTTGCTAATACTTGAGCGCCATCATTAAAAATGTACTGATTAGAATAAAATCCTTACCAGGCCTGCTTGACAAAATACTTTCCTTGGATTTAGTTCGTGTTACTGTTCCTTCTATAGAGTCATAACTTTTTTTACAAAATAAAACTTACTTTTTCTCTATTTTTGTCTGAATTAGTCTGGTATTCAGATTACAGCCTAGATAATGCCTGCCTTGCTGCCTGCCTTCCTGTCTTCCTTTTGTACCTATCCGGTGAAATTTGCATTAAACAGCCTGATTCATAGCTCTTCTTAATAGACATGTCCAACTAATTAAATGAAAATGGAAACTAAAATTTGAAGGAAGTACTGGTTTTAACAAAGGTTAATGTGCAAATATTTTGTTTGAGATTTTTGCATTTATGATAATGAGTAAGATAAGCCTTTATTTTATCTTTCACATGATTTTTTTGTAATTTTGGTATGGCGATCATACTGGCTCATGGAGTACATTGAATAATGTTTCCTCTTTGTATAAAAACTCACTTGTTTGTGTTTAAATGGTTAAAACAAATACAGTAACAACACAATGGACACCCATTTTTAAAGTAAAGAACACTATCATTAGATTTGAAGTCCTCTGTGTGCACTTCTCTAATCCCATCCTCTTATCTCCTCCCTCAAACATAACTGCTTATTAAATTATTGTTCTTTCTGGTTTTTATTATTTAAAGTTGTGGCTATATCTATCCCTAAACAAGATGCCATTTAGTTTTACATTCTTTTAAACTTTATTTGTACTTTTTTTTTTTTTTTTTTACTGGTCAGTATGTTCCTGAGATTAAGCCATACTATTACATGTAGCTGTAATTTACTAATTTTCATGGCTGTATAACATTGTATGTCTATTATTTTTTCTGCTATTTTAAGGGCATTTGGGTTGTTGCCAGGTTTTTACTATTAAAACAGTGCTGCTATGAACATTGTTGGCCACGTCTCCCGGAATACATATGTAAAGTTTCTCCAGGACAGTGACTTTCAAATTTTTTTGTTCCCAATCCAGTTGGAAATACATTTTACACTGCAACCCAGTACACACAGATATGTCTACAAGTGTATACCTGAAACAAAAAATAATACCCTGTGGATTGTGTGTGTGTGTGTGTAAGGGGTGTGTGTGTACATACCTTTATGGTAGCCTTAACCTTCTGAACTGATTTTGTGACCCAGTAGGTCTCTGGCTTAGCATGATCAGGCATCCATCTGCCTGTGGGTCAGACATTGGACATACAGCAGGAAAATGATCACATAGAAGGGACTGGTCTGTATTTCCCAGTTCTTAGCATTTCTGCTCTGTCCTATAGGGTCGCTCTGAGTTGGGATTGACTCGATGGCAATGGATTTTTTTAAACTCATTGTAGCCTACGATCAATTCTCAGGAGTAAGCCAAAGCATAAAAATCTTGTTGGGTAGAGTGGAAACTTCATTAGCATATGGTTAAGAGAAACCATGTTTAAGTAAGACTCTGGTTATAAAGCTAGTAGAATCATAGTGGCCTTGGAGGGAGAGCCCTTAACACAGCTTTTTCATTCCTGAGAGATGGCTGCTTTCGGCTGCATTCCTATGTCAGCTCTCCTGTTCCATGTACCCCATATCTTTTTTTCTCTCATTTTACTACCATTTTTATGGAACACATCTTCCAGCATCTTCTTGAGAAGGGCTGAGGAAGGGGAGCATGGAAAGTAAATGTTTTTGATATCTTGCGTGTTTGAAAATGTCTTGACTGACCATAGACTGCTGTGTTAGATACCATTTTTCTTTAGAATGTTAAAAGCATTTCTCCTTCACCTTTACAATTCCAAAGTTGCTGTTAAGAAGCCTGAAGCTATTTTGGTTCATTTTCCTTCTCATGTGATATCTTTGTTTCCTCTGTGGAAACACTTGCGAGAGTCTTCTCTCTGTCACCAGTGTTCTGATCCCATAGAGATGGAGCTTGTTCTGAGTCTTGTTTTACCCATTGTGCTTGGCGCTGGGTAGCCCTTTTAGTCTGTTGATACATGCCCTTGAATTTAAGGGAAAGTTTTTGAATTATTTCATTTGTCTCCTCCACATTTCTGGGTTTTGTTTTTTGTTTTTTTTTAATGGAATTCCCCTTGTTTACATATTGCACCTCTTGGACTAGACTTATCATCTCTTTTCCTGTTTTCTACCTTTGTCTTTTTGCTCCACTTTGAAAGATTTCCTTAACTTACCTTCCGTTCATTTTATTGAGTTTTTCATATCTCGTGTTGCTTTTTTAATTTCCAGGGACTGTCTTTTTTCTCAGAGTGCTCTTTTTTCTGTGGATAGAACATTGTGTTCCCATATGATGAAAGTAGTGTTTCTCGGAAGGCATTAAGGATTTCTTTTTTTTTTTTTTTTTTCTTTTT